CTTTCTCCTTGTACGCTGAGAGAACCCTTTGTTCAAACATGCGGGCGGCGAATATCTGGAACATGCGTCGACCTTCCTCCATTCGTTGCTCCTCCGTCATTTGGTCCTGGCAGCAACACTCAGTATGGGACTGGGATGGTATCACAGAGGGGTTTGAGTATACCTCTTCCTCCTCATACTCCTCATCCTGACTATCATCAAAGTCATCTTCCTCGTCCTCATCTTCGTCGTATTCGTCTTCTTCAGGAGGAGGATGATTATGTGGATTGGAGTATGAGCCATTAGGGTGTCCGTAGCCCCGTGAGAAGTGTTCGCGGGCGTCTTCTTCCCTTGCCATCCTACGTTCGGCAAGCTGTTCCATCATTTCGATAAACCGCTTGCCGTCGTTCTTCAGGAGGTCATCCGCCACGGTGAGAATACCACCTAAGTCCATGTTACCATATCTGCGGAGAAGTGAATCAAGAAGCTGCGTACCCTTGACTTGGAGGCTGTTGCCAAACGTCAAGAAATCGGCGACGTCCCGTTCATGTGAGTTTTGATATTCTTCAGGAGGTTCGTCGTCGCTGTAGTCATCGTCCTCCACTTCGTCTTCGCTGTAAACCTCCTCCAGCTCGTCCTCGTCTTCGTCGTCTCCCACATGTTCGACTATTCGACCGCGCGATGGCGGGCGGTTGGCATAACTTGATGGCAGACCCCGGGGCGGTCTTAGAGCGAAATCTCGAGCTGATGGTAGCATAGGTGGTCCCTCGCCTTGGTTTGCGAATTGTTCGAGTTCCAGGTAGTAGGCATCGTAGAGGCCTTCCAGTTCTTCCTCAATTGCATTCCGCTTCCGTCCGCACACAGTGCAGCTGCATGTATGCTTCTGTTGCTCCTTCATCTTCTTCAGAACAGCATCCTTCTCGACTTTGACCAAGGATTTCCGCTCGTCTTCGCCCAATCCAAGCCAGAACGCTTTTATGCGTTCGCGCTCTTCTTGATTGCTAGTACTCCATATCTTATCGCGTGACATTCCAGGGCCTTGCGACAAGTGCGATTGGGGCTCAGATTCAAGAGTTTCGGGTACAGGTGATGTAGGATCGGCATTTCCTCCCTTCTTCTTCTTCTTTTTATTCTTCTTCGATTTGGAATCCGAAGGGGGGTGTCCGTTTGTAGTTGGGCCTGTTAATTCGCTCGCCAGGATATACTCATGTTCATCGTCGCTTTCGACCTCTTCGTGGTCAGCGGGGCCGCGCCCTGACATAGAACCTGTGCGTGCACCACCACTCGCGGCATTGTTGGTATGTCCGTTCGCAGCTTGCTGGGCGGCTTTTAAAGCAGCCTTCTGTCTACGCTTCTGCTTCTTGCGGTTGACTGTTGGAGCAGGGTCATTGTCGGGGTTGGAAGCCTCTAGTGGGGGGGCACTGGCTTTAGCAGTTGTGGGGGTCGAAGGCAAGGAAGACTCAGAGGTAGCGCCCTTGGGTACGGTGATAAACTTGGAGCCATCCTTGTTGGTGTATTTTGCCGTATTTCGTGGTGATACCGGAGTTTGGGCGGCCGGTCTTTGGTTGTTGGCCGGCATCGTAGGTTACGGCAGCAAAGCAGTCGAGGGCATGAAGATGCTGTGCGCGACACGTGTCTGTCGATGGGAGGACGGTGTATGAGGAATCTGGTTCTGTAATACGCGAGAGCGTGTCAGCTTGGAAGCGGAGGGTATCGCGCGTGTCAAAACGGTGAAGTCGTGGTCGTTAGGCGGCTGCGGGCACGTTGCAAGTGGAGGGTCTCTGGGGGCGGCTCAAAATGAGGCACTCACAGTCGGAGAGCGAGCGGCCAAGGTCAGGGTTAGGTCAGCGATGACGCCTGCGGGGAAGGGGCCCAATGGATTGATTGTTATTGCTGCTGTTATAAAATCGTAAGCGCAGTCGGAGGGTTGTATAGATACTTCGGATTGAAGATAAAAGAGTGCGGAAATATTGTAACGTTCTTTGTCTGGTGTTGTTTGATGCTTCGAGGCTCAAGGCTCAAACAAGATGGGACGGTAGAAGTCACTCTTTGGTGGAGTTGCATAGCACCTGTACTTTCTCATGCAGCCGAACCTGCCCAGCGACACTGTGATGTGGTCAGGCACGCATCTGATTGACGGGTTATGCCCCGCTATTCCCCTAGCCTGGCGTCCTGGTGTGATCTTGCACGTGATGTTGAGATCTGGCGATTTGGTTTGTTTGTGCCTTCCGAGGGTGGGGTTACAAACAGCAACCTTGATGTCAACGTCACTCGTCTCGGGGCTACCCTGAACCTGGGGATGAAGCAGCAGAGACAATCAATTCTTTTTTGGCAATCATCAAAGACCCAATTCGTCTATTGGTTATTTCTCAACCGAAAGCTGCATCATTATCTCCTGTCTGTTACTCAATTGTACACAATGTGTACGTAACAAAGTAATCGTGAAGTGCATTCAATACCTATCTAAGCACACTTTAGTCTCATGACTCCCAAGACTTAGCAAAGCTATTGGACTGGCCTTTGCTCCTCCATAAGCTCTGAAATCGATTAAGCAATCAACATTCCAATATTATGACAGGACTGTAACAGGGACCAGTGCATGTTTGACAAACAGACTACGGCTTGGTTATTAACGGTGGGAAAACACCGGTCCCGTCTTCGCGAGACGATCAATACTCCATAGACATAACCTTACCAGGGAGCAACCAAGGCAGATCACCAACAGAAGAAGCAGGCCCGAATTAGGATCTTCATATCTCATGCCGATGTGCAGAACAAATTTGACCACCAAACTCGTCATCCACAGGCACCACGATGATTGCCGACGCCGTGCAACATTAAACATGGCCAGCACAATCACACAAGACCCACATGAAAGCCTCATAGACTCGACTCTATCTCTTATCTTAACAGCTGGATCAGACCATGTGCAACGAATCTACGACATACATCTCGGCGCGCAAACCTATGTGTGTGACAGGATACCAAATTGAGACGATGCCGTGTTGCCCCTTGTCCATGCATGTTGCAAACGACGGAGGACAGCATCGACGGGAGAGGACGACGCAACATGTTTCGGCTATTTGTCCATACATAGGCGAAGGATTCTCAATTGCTGAAATCTGTCCGTACAAACGCCGCCTGGAGTACCACTCACATTGAATCAGAGTTGATCAGAATGGTAAACGGATGCGATCTTTGCCCACCAGACGAAGGGAATATGCAGGTAAGACTCAAGCAGCCATCAAGACGCTGACAGCTATGCATGCATTATTGGGACGAAGGATCGTGGCATCACCTGCAAACACCACCGCAGCCTTGTAGGGCAGTGAGTTTATTGCCTACTGTGACATCGGCCACGAGGCGTCGTTGTTGCATTCAACGTAAGCGGACATTGACAGTGAGACGGGCCAACTAGCTCATCGGGTATGCCCGTACAGTATGCTGTCATGAAGGATCCACGCAGGTGAGAATTGAAGTTTTTCTACACTAACGTCAGAGGGAAAAGGACCTTGAAGGGACGTTTGGAGACATCCGAACGTCAGCAATGCGGACCGCCGGCGCAACTCACAAACACCGAAATCCTTCTCACGGAATCCATATTATCATGTTAGCGTGAGGGAGCCAAGAAGATGGAGCGCATTAACGGGATCGTCCGCAAAATGGTCGAGTTGATCTCATCCAATGCCCTCAAGTAGCATGGCATGAAGTCTTGAGACACGAGCTAGGGTTCAGTTGCTATTTCTATTTCCAGGGGACTTTTCCATCATCGCTGCACAACAGGCAATAAGCGTCAGTGCTAAAGCAGTAGTTCGTCCTGCCCCTTGGTTTCCAGGGCTCCAGGGCTGGTTTGGTTCCTGTTTTTAGCTTACCGGCTGGCGGGTGTGGGTTAGTCTGCACAGCCTCAAATGGCGGCGGCCATGCATTTTTGCATCCCAGCAATGAGATTGGCTGGCATGACGAGCATCTCTGAGCCCAAATGTTTAATCCTCCGAGCAAAGACAAGGACACTTTTGATGTGGATCTGTTGATATGCTTGCCTAGATCTGAATTCTGTCGTTACTGTCGTATTGAAGGACACCTTGGCCCTGTCGTTTATGGAAGCTATCGATGCCGAAACAAAACATAGACAGCTAATTCGTTGAAGAAGATATGAGCATTGAAGATGATAGAACGGTCCGTGAGTTTTGTTTGGCTTGGCGGAGTTGAGTTGAGCTGAGAGGCTCCATGACGACGAAACTCTCCACCGACTTCTGTTTACCTAATTGAATCTCTAGTGACGATTTATGACGGTTACCAAAGCGGAACGGCACTGCAATTTTGTTTCCAACCGACCGTTAGAAATACTTATTCAGATTCTTCCCATCGAGCTGGTACAGGGCGGAGAATGTCAGAATTAACCGAGCTGGCTTCAATCATATTACTTGTTTTGGATATACAGTTGTGGATGCTCCGCCACAGGGGGCTTGCTGTTTGCTGCAAGTCCATCAATGATCAACTCATGATGGGATGGGCTATGCTAATCAGATGCTGCTGATGACAAAACCTCCAATTGAAGTCCCTCAGTGACTTTTCCTAAAGCTACGTAGTCAAAATGTCAGAAGATGCCGTTGTAACGATCCATTCTCCGGCACATCTCGTGTACCTTAATCCATGTCGATCAACAACCACAGACTTGCCGTAGCATTCAACAAGAAGCAACTCATGCTGTCGAAGCCCACTTTGTGATAATGCGCAGTCCACTCAGGCAGCCCAGCTGTCACAGAACCTGTACTAGAGAACTTTCAGGGCTGTCGTCCTCCACTAGACCTCACCTCATCCTCAGCTAAAAAAGGTCCCCCGGACCCGTTTTCTACGTCGAGGCTCCACATGGCCTACCCGTTCAGGGGAGCACCTCAGTGCAGTGAGTACAGTGAGTACAGTGCAGCCAGTCAGTGAATCTGTCCATCCATGGAAACGCGGGCTCTCCACCATCACCGATGCCACCACCGTCGCCGTCGTAAACAAGCCCGGCTGTTCCAACAATAGAAAAGAGGCTGCCTCTCTAGCTTTAGATCTACGGCGTATAGTATAACTAAACGTTAGTTTCTTGGGGATATCTTTAATTCGTATCAGATTATCGATCTATTCGTTCCTTAACATCTTGAATGACTCGTTTCATCTTTTCTACACAATCTTCAAGAATCTGATGCACATCAGCCCAGCCCAGTCCGCCTCAGCTCCATTTTAGACTGAGGCTAAGAAACAGGTCTGACAAAAAAAGAACAGCACCACCTCACCACAGTCCTTCACTGTCCTATCATCTCGGTCAATCAATCATCAGTCTTGCCCGTCAGTCTTGGTCTCGTATTCCCAGCCCATTAGACATCATTCTTTCATCTTCTTTCTTGTTTCTCTACTATTCTATTCTTTGAAGAACTTGCTCATCCAACCAGTTCCCTGGCACTCGCTCCGTCCTAGACATTACTCTCACCATTAAAAACGCCCTGATCTCACTGCACAAACCCTGGACTGCACTGCATACCCTGGCAGCTGAACCGTATACTAGCACCGTATTTACGTACTGCCTGCACCTGCACCTGCACCTGGCCCGGCTTGTCCTGACCTGGCTGGTTCCATCTGGCCCTGTCCTCCTCGCTCCACGTCCGCGCGCTCATTCAGGTCCGGACGTCCCTGGTTACTTTACTCACCCATCCAACGATTCTCTTACCAAAAAGTCCGTTGGCAAAAAAAATAAGGGGTCCTATCCCAGATCTCGACGACATTTCTCTGACCGAACCGACCTTACTCTCCAATTAACCATCATCACCTTCATATCACTCAATCCAGCCCTATCCAATCCCTTTCGGCCTAGCTTAGCTTGTTCCTGTTGTTATCACCGCGACGACGCCCTCTTGATCGCTGTAGCTCGTTGCTCTTCCACCCATAATCAATCGACGGTAACGATTAACCGACGCATTACCCAGATCTGGGGCCCGTAGCAGACTCCAGATCCGATTTCCTCCTACGATTAGTCTCGAAACGTCATCATCACGCAGCCTCGAGGTCATATAACTCAGTCATCATGAGCGCAAATCCTAGCAACGTTATCCGCAGGTACGACTTCATCGCGCTCCCAAGCTCCGCTACCCATCAGGCACAAAACGATACTCCTCCCTGCCACACCCATCATGACATACTCAAGATATTTGATGATCAATCAGATCACTAACGACGTACCGTAGGAAGTTGGTCATTATCGGTGACGGTGCCTGCGGCAAGACCAGTTTGCTGAGCGTATTTACGCTAGGTTACTTTCCTACAGTGAGTCCTCCAAATCTACATATCGTCATCAAACCTTGCTAACCTGTTTGCAGCATTATGTGAGCCTCGACCGTAACCCCTTGCGACGACGATTATTGACTTCGTATTATATAGATCCCCACAGTCTTTGAGAACTATGTGACAGATTGTAGAGTAGACGGCAAGTCCGTCCAGCTTGCTCTATGGGATACCGCTGGCCAAGAAGACTACGAACGATTACGACCGCTCGCCTACTCAAAAGCCCATGTCATCTTGATAGGATTTTCCGTCGACACACCAGATTCCCTTGACAACGTTAAGCACAAGGTACGGCCCCTTCGGCATGCAATATGCGCCTAGTGATGAACCCTGGAAAGCTGACGTGTTTCTCTTGCAGTGGATTGAGGAAGCCACTCGCCTGTGCACCGGTGTTCCCATTATTCTCGTTGGTCTTAAGAAAGATCTTCGAGAGGATCCCGTCGCGATCGAAGAAATGCGCAAGAAGTCGATGCGTTTTGTATCTGAACATGATGGAGAGGCAATCGCCCGGGAAATTGGTGCAAAGCGATATCTTGAATGCTCCAGCTTGAGCGGCGAAGGCGTCGACGACGTATTTGAGGCTGCCACTCGTGCTGCTCTGCTGACCTTTGAGAAGGGCGAGGGCGGCGGTTGCTGCGTTGTGCTGTAAAACCGTCAGCCATGCGCCTCCGAACGAACCACCATCCACGCCACTTGGATGTGCTCACACAATACCAGGGACAACATGCAGCTGTTCCTAGGTTTCATCTTTAAGCGATCGATCACCACTTCGCCTCGGCCGCACTATCAACATATGTTCAGACATCTGGAGACGAGTGTAGATTTTTGGATCATCAGGGAATCAATTTAGGATATAGAGGATTTATTGCTCGGCGCCCCAGGAGGACAACTTCCTTTCTTATATTCTACACTCGCTCACTCTCAAAACTCATCATCACGGAATTGAAGCTAAAGGCAGCATCACATTCCGGCGTTTCGGCCGACCCGATCCTATTTACTATCTATCTATTCCACGGCCGATCTTCTCTCGAATGCCGACATCCTCACTATCACGTTTCCTTTCTGGCGTTGTTATTCAGAAGATAATCAATATGCAAAGACTCGCTCATTGAGTCTTCTCAGACACAACTAAGTGACTACCATCCAGCCATGTGCACCCTCAATTTCCTTACGATCCGGAACTGCATTTTGGACCTGTTTTGAATACTGGTCATTTCATCTGACCTGACACTCTTAATATCTGAGCGGAATTGCAGAAACAACTTTTATATACCTAGCATCCTGAGGAGAGACAAAAATCGGAGAGGAGCAAGGGTGCATGGGCAGAAAGAAGGACACTTGCATGATTTGGTTCGAGCGGGTTAAGATACGCATATTCACTCTCTGTATTAATAATTGGAATAGCGGCATAGAACTGGCTTTGTCGAGCGTTGGGAAGATGAGAGTGAATCAATGACATGGATTAAGATGACGGGAGATTGGTGCTGTCATTTACGGACCTGATACTTAATGAGAGTGATGATCTTTGCATTTAATGTGGTTCATACATAACTAGCTACCTTTCACGACGTCTTTGAAAGGATTGGGTGGCCTTGAGTAGTATCTTGCCTCCCCTTGAATGGGCTTAATAAGAATCGTAAACATTGGCTTTCTAATCACTATCATCTGACAGCTGCCTTATCATACATACAGTACACTTTCTATTCTAAACATTCTTTTTCGGGTTGGGACAGTAAATAATACTTCAATCGTTGTTCCTCTTCCACTCATGGTTCCATGCGTTCTTAGCTGGGTGATCTGTTTGATAACGCGCATACTCGATGGGAATTGCGTCAAGACCCCAGACACCCTTCTTTTCCATAGCAACACGGTACAGGTAGCCCTCGTCTCTGTTTCCCGGGCCAACTGTTTTGCGCAGCTCTTCACAAGCATTGTACATGCCGCTGAAGATGCGAGAGCGTTCCTGCTCAGTTGCTAGATGCTGCTGTCGACGGAAGAGTTGCCAAGCGCGGTGGATGGTCCAGTGGCGGAGGTATCGAAGACGGGCCATTCGTAGAGGAGGGGGAGCGGGAGAGAACATATTTTGGCGGAGCGTGCGGATGCGGTAGAAGTTTTCGGACTTCGGAGCTGCGTGCTTTCTGCGAGGAGGGACCTTGCCGGCATTGGGGCTCTTCGGCGCGGCCTTGGGAGGTGTGCGGGCAAGCATATTCGCTGTGGTAGAGAAAAGACGGGTCGTTTGCGTCGTAGAAGCAGGCTGGCGGGTAAAGAGCCCGCGGAGAGAGAATATTGAAGACATCGTAAGGTTTGGAGGTGCGAAGCAGGCGGGGAGGTCTCAAGTTGTTGACCAAGACATAAATATTCAGGACAATCGTATTGCAACAATGATGTAATCCAACTCAAGTTCGAAACGAATTGGCGTTGATTATCGTTCGGCGGTTCGATTCGTCTTAATTCTGTGTAGGGAAAGGCGCATTGAATGGTTGGGCCGAGACTTGTCCGCTTTGTTCGGCTTCTTCGTGGGCCTGACGCAGTCTTTCCTGAATCAATTGATCGTATGGTTGGAGTGCAGCTCGGCAGTCTCTCAACCGGGGCAAGTTATGCTCGACACTTGGGTTGAGACAGTCGTATTTGAAGGTTTGATTATTGTAGAGGCTCCAGATGTCCTGCAAGAGGAAATTGTTAGCCTAATTCGGTTCGGGTAAATATTTGACCGCGCACAGCCCAAACCCAAGTCCAACTTCAACTCAGACTTCTAAGGTTTGTTTTAAGACGATGATTCCTTGAAGTTCCTTAAATCATTGCCTGACTTCAGGCTCAAATTGAATTTCAAATATGAATAGTGCTGGAATGGACAGCCCTGGAAGGTTGGAGACTTACCAATTGCCCCTGATTTTCGTAAATAAAGAGCTCTCCACGATTCCCACTACAGAACTGCCCCCACGCCATTGATCCCAGCGTGGTGTTCCAGTGGTCTGCAAGATCTTGCAGTGATATACCGGTGGCAGCTGTGAGAAGGTTCTCTAGTTCCTGCGAATGAACACCTTCGTAGATTCCAGGCACATCTTTGAGTTGAAGTAAAAGCCACGCAAGCTCTTGGGTCACTACATGTCTCAAAATGCTGTCTTTAGTGTCTTGGCCCGGAAACACGAAATTGCTTCCTTGGGAACAAGATATCCAATCCTCCAGGATGGGCTTGAACATATCAGGACCTATCATCCCTCTTGTGCGTAGGAAGTCCTGTCTCGGGTATCTGGCTCTGTGACTTCTGCCGACGAACAACTGAATCGTGCTGATGAACAATTCCGAGGCTGGCTTCCAGAGGGATTCGAGTCGTAGCTTGTGCTCATAGGAGCTTCGAGGGACTTGGCCTTCGAATTTGAAGTTCATGTGGCCCGGGGTGTTGTTCACTCCTTCAGTGAACGGTAAGGAGTTCGAGTATCGGAAAATAAAGGTTCCAGGGGAGTATCCGAGAAACCACCTACCACGACACATGAACGGAAACTGAATGACTCGGAAGTGTTCAAGGCGATTCCCTATCATGGCTGTTACTTGCCTCGCTATCTGCACCAGTTGATTGTTAATGGGCGTGCTTAGAAAGGCCCCAGGATCAACAAGTCGGTTTTCCGTATGGGCTCGCAGTGTATACATGAGCTTTGGCCAGGTTGTGTTATCTATCTCGTTGAAGTTTTCCATAAGAGTGTTGCGAACCTCTTCCGTCAAGCTGGCGACTGGTATCTCATCTGCGGTAAGTAGATCGTGGCATGCCTGGTAAAACGTTTGATCGACCACACTCTGATCGACCCTTGCTTTGAGATGATTCTCGATGGACCTATATCGTTGCTCTTCGGACTCTGCTTGCATGGCCCAGACGAAGAAATTGTGGGCGCGAAAAAACACCATGCTGGTACACGGGGTCCTGAGGCCCTCGCAATGAATACAAGCGTACGGATTCTGACTGCGTTGGGGACGACCACTTCCCCCGGGGCGGCCACGGCCGGCCTTTCGAGATCCTCGAGTTCCAACCATCTAGAGACGATGTTAAAGAGACAACAATAGAAGCTTTAGGTATACATACAGTTTTGACCTGTAAGAATATCCGGTTGGAATACTCGAAAAGATAGGTCTGATGGAAGCGGACGGGAATGGAAAGATTCAGATGACAAAGGAGAAATTCAAAGACTATGGCGATGCGTGGGGAAAATCAAAACAGTGAGGAAGCCGGAACAGGGTGCTTTTCTTATGATTTTTGTATAAAGAATCAGTTTTGACTTTTGTGCTCCCCGAGAGATTTTACAAACTTCTGAGTATTAAACTTACCTTAAGTAACCACCCTCAGGGAGGCAAGAAGACTTCTGACTTCTAGTCCAAATGACAAAAAGACCTGGATTCATTTAGTATAAATTTGCACCAGTTAATATAGACTTGGTAGGCGTTAAGACTACCTAATCCTTTTGGCACCTTTATTCACTGTCAGAAGTTATCTTACTCCCTGACGGCCACCATTGCTAAACCAAATGGATGATAAAATAAGAAACAGTATTGATTCGCTCTTCAACACGATCAGAGTTGAAAGGTAGAAGAAGTCACGATTTGGAGAATCACCGAGACCGGAGCTCACCCGAGAAACAGCAGTCGCTGAATAGAACATGCCCCTGAACCAAAACCTAGATCCTCCATAAGAGACCTCTTGAATACCAAAAGAATCCTTCGACCGCTTCGACAATGGACTCCTACTTGGCGGATTTAGAAGTAACGAAGAAAACCCCAGATATGTGGTAGAACTAGACGATGAAAGGTTTCCAGTGGTGTAGATTAAGAGAGCGGAAGGACACCGTTGACTAGAATCTTGTCGCACAACTTACTATAGTAGGTAGTTTTGTGATGCTCTAATGACCCAAAATACGAATATTTGCAAAACCGAAAAACTCGAGGTAGGGGTGAGATAAAATAATAGGAAAAATGTACATTTAGCTCTTGTGTGGTGGCAGTATTGATGGGCGGCGCTGACTACGAGAAAAGGGGCACCGATGGCCCCCGATATCGTGAACCTGAGGCTGAAGCGACACAATAAGAAAGCGTAACGGATACAGGTTTTACGCTAGTTAAATTAGATATTGGAGAGACAAAAGGATTTCGTTTTTAAAAGTAGTTTCATGGGTGTTAAGTCATCATGAATCAATCAAGTTCTGATATCTTGCCCACAGATTCACTGCCTCCCCATCTTCACCTAACTTTCACACGGACTGACAGTCTCGACGTGTTCACGGATTTCATCCAAGTGTAAATCTGATAATTCTTCTGCACGCCTCTATTGTTTCCCTTTCACCACAAACAAACTTTACCTTAGGCACCAACAAACTCATCACACACCTCCCTTCACCATCACCACACCCCCCTTCACACGTAGACAAAAGTGTCTTCCAAGGTATTCGGCAAACATCATCCGTTCTCGGATACAAGCAGTCACTTATCGCAAAAGAACTAGATAAACAAAATGGACAGTCCTTACGCATCCAGCACTGACCTGTCTTCGGACTCCGCGCCTGATAATGGCCCTCAGGCTAATGATTATTGGACTCGACGCCGAGCCCAGGAACGTTTAGGGGAGCCTGGTGCTTCTGAAAATGGGCCCAGCCTGGAACCTGAGGACCGAGAGGATGTCCCTCTTGATCATGACAACTCTGACCAGGAAGAGCGTGAGGAAGGGTACGACATGCTCGACGGGCCGCTCGTTCGAGGGGCGATGCACCGAGATCGTTCCATGAACGAGCTCGCCCCTGAGGAGCTATCTGATGAGGAACTCTCCCGGGAGGAACTTCAGTTTGATGACGATGGAGTGGTTGGGTACTTTAGCGCTGCCATGTTCAACGAGACTGAAGAGGAGCACCGCCTGAGGTAAGATTTTGTAATTGCTTTTGGCTCTTATTTCTCGGAGACGCCCTCTATTAAGAAACCACAAAGCTAACTCACGGGTAGCACCTCTAGCCTTGTCCAAAGCCCTTCTGGCACAGATATCCCGCAGGGAGTTCTTGCTGCAACTGCACAGATTGCGCAGAACAACCTCGCTAGGTCATACGACAACCTTACCGGCGGGCTTACGTATACTGCCCAGCGTGCCCACGATGCCATGGCGACCACCGCCCAAGCTGGGGGCCACCTAGCTGAAGGGGCCTGGCGTGCTGGCAATGGTGTAGCGATTTGGGCTCAGGAGCGGTGGCCGAACATGCCTCGTATTATCAACCGTAGAGCGTTAGGCTCTCTAGCTGAGCTTGTGATGGAGGGTGTTCAAACTTTGCCACCTTCGGACTCAATCATTCGCCCACAAGGACGGCGATGAATTAGGGAGACCAAGGTAGGCTATGGCTTCTCTGTCGCTGTGAGTCGCGGGTTGGGTGCAGATATTGGCTCTCGAAGCCGATGGGTGTGGGGATTACAGGAGAAAAGTCTTTTGCTGTCCTTTGTGTTTGCTTTAACAGATGATACCACTATATTACGAAAGAGAGAGCAATCAGCATGGATTTTGGACAATTGAGCATGGAATTTGCTGGCGACAAGATAACGAGGATCTGTTGTCAAAGAAAGGAACATAGAATAGGAAGCATTTGGGACCATGCATCAAGAACTGGCATATATAGAACAAAGTTGCTTTATTATGCAAAAAGACCACCATCGTATCGTCAACAAACTAAATTAACTCCAAGTCGCATGCCATAAACCTTTACCCATTTTGAACCAAATCATTAGTGCTCGTGTGACACGTTGTTGAGATCCCTGAATTCGCCGCGTAGGCTCTCGATTCCTTCCGCCTTGACCTCGTCGACAAGCTTGGCCACCTCAGGGGCAATGACGTTCTCATCAAAGCCGAAGTATTTGTAGGCGTCCTTACCAGGTAGTGATTTGCCGAAAGTGGTCATTGAGTAACCAGCATCGGCGTATCGCTCCCAGCCGTTGACGGCGTAGGCCTCAATCACAACTCGAGGGGCGTTGGAGCGGTATTGAAGGACTTGGCGTTTGTACTCGAGGGGTTGGGAGTTGAAGAGACGCTGGCAAGGGAACGAGACCACGCGGGCCTTGATGCTGAACTTCTCCTTGAGGACTTGGCGGGTCCTGACGGCGAAGACCATTTCGGCACCGATGCCGATGAGAGTAACGTCGGCATCCTCCTCCTCGATGAAGACATAAGCACCCTTCTGAACACCTTCACGGCTGGAGTACTCAGGGTACTGCTCGAGGTTCTGACGGGAGAGGGAGATGATAGATGGGGTGTCCTTGGCCTCGAGGGCGGTAATGAAGGCACCGGCCGTCTCTTCGGTATCGCAAGGTCGGATGTAAAGGAGGTTGGGCATGGAGCGGTACAGAGCAGGGAGAGCAATTGGTTGGTGGGTTGGGCCGTCTTCGCCAGTACCGATCGAGTCGTGAGTGGCAATGTGGATGGCTTGGAGGTTCTGGAGAGCGCCCATGCGGACACCGGGAGCGGCGTAGATATAGAACATGAAGAAGCTTGAGGTGACAGGGAGGATCGTACCCTTACCATAAGCGGCAAGACCGTTGGAGATGGAAGCCATCGCATGTTCGCGGATACCCCAATGAATGTACCGACCAGAGTAGTTGCCATTGATGCCGCAGGTGGTCTTGAGGTCGGGCTGTTACTGTGTTAGTGACAGGCTACTGGTTGTGTCAAAGGGGAACTTACATGCTGGAAGTCAACCTTGCCCTTCCAGATCATGTTGACAGAGGGTGACAGATCAGCTGTACCGACCATGAAGTTCTTGAGTTTCGCAGCCAGAGGGTTACAGATGATACCGGCAGACTTTCGGGAAGGTGTAGGAGCAGTAGGGAATGACTCCTTGGCAGGAATGATGCTTCGCCAGTCATCAGTAAAGCGGCCCTCGACACGCTTCATGAACTCCTCATGAAGATCAGGGTATTCCTTGCTGTAGGCATCAACACGACTCTTCCAATCCTCGACGAGGCGGTCACCACGAGTCTTGCGGTCGCGGAAGAAGCTGTAAACCTCATCAGAGACGACGTAATGCTTCTCAGGGTCCATGCCGAAACGCTCCTTGACGGCCTTGACACCATCGGGGCTGAAAGCGGCACCGTGGGCTTTCGCATCACCTGCAACCTTGCTACCGACTCCAATGATAGTGTGAATGTTGATGAAAGTGGGCTTGTCGATGCTGGCCTTGGCTTTGAGGAGGGCCTTGACGATACCCTCGACATCGAAACAGCCGTCCTCGACCTCGATAACCTCCCAACCACAGGCGCGCATCTTGGCGTTGACGTCCTCGGTGTTGCAGAGGTCGACACTACCGTCGCAGGTAATCTGGTTGTTGTCATACATGACAACGAGGTTGTTGAGCTTCCAATGGCCAGCCAGTTGAATAGCCTCAAGGGCGACACCCTCCTGTAGACAAGCATCGCCGATCATGCAGTACGTCATATTGTTGACGAGCTCGTAGTTGGGCTTGTTGTAAGTTGCCGCAAGGTTCTTGGTCGCCATGGCGAGGCCGACAGCATTGGCAATACCTTGGCCAAGAGGACCGGTCGTCACTTCGATACCCTCATGCTCAATCTCAGGGTGACCGGGCGCCAATGAGTCGTAGTTGGATGAGTGGTAGGACTTGAGGTGCTCGAAGGTCATGGCCTTGTAACCCGTGAGATGAAGGAACGTGTACTGGAAGAGGCATGTGTGGCCGTTGGAGAGGACGAAGCGATCGCGGTTGAAGTAGTCAGGGTCGTTGGGAGAGTACTGCATCACATATTTCCAGAGAGCGAGGCCAATGGCCGCCATACCCATTGCACCTCTATAAGCCAGTCAGTAAATGCCATTCTCTTGTCTTTCGATGCTGGTGAAGCTTACCCAGGGTGGCCACCCTTGAACTGCTCGCAAAGATCAGCGATCAAGCAGCGAAACTGTCGCAGGGCAAGATCAATTGTCTCTGCATCATCGTTCTTGATCAACTTGATGACGTTGGAAAGAGCTACAGGTTCTTCCTGTGTCTCTGGGGTGATTGCGCTGGGTGCCATCTCGGACTGGATCTGTGACTCTGTGATGCTCTTACAAGACGAGTAGGTGATGAGTGCAGCTGAGAAACATCGACAGTGCCTCTTGAGTTATAGATATTTCGAAAAAGCATCTTTTGCGCGTGATCTTTCTCATAACGACGATGATGTTCGTTGTGCCCATGGCGGACCGGGTTACCCCAACAGGGCAGGGGAAAGCGCCGTGGGGATATGTGCGTTTGCCATTTAACGTGGGGTTCTTGATGAGTTTGACATTATTGGGTTGAGCGAGGATTGAGTTCTGGATCAGGAAGTTGGAGGCACCAGATCACGGCTTTGCCTGTTGAGGTTAGAGTCGAGATTGCGCTTAGAACTGCCATGGACTTGATGCTTGGGGTATTAACACACCAGGATCGTGTGGAGAAGGGTTGCAATTACCTGGGTGACGGAAATACTGCTGAGCTTAGTGCATTGGCTGTAATAAATGTTGTACAACTCTGGGTATCTGCATTCGCGACAGAGACTGCTAGGTGAAAGAAATAACGGGACTTGCTTGTAGAACCGAAAGCCAGCAAAAACAAAAGGGCAGTTCAGGGGCTAAGACGTGGTGGAGACACCCTGGTATTTGTGTCCTGATAAACACCCGACCAGACCTTTTTGTCCCCCCTCTTTCAGCCTGGAAATACTGTATCTTAGCGAAAACCACGACTGTCGTATTGATATGTGACAACCTCCGGCTACAATTACCTCGTCGAATCAACCAGGAATAAGTCTTCAAAACCCAATTCGAGACACATCATTCTTCGCATCGACCTTCCATTTGGATGCCACGACGGTAATGCTTGACTCAACATGTCTTCGGCGCCTCCAGAAATGGATATCCGTCCATGGTATATCCTGACGAGCTTGCGTCTCCAAAACTCTTCTATCCCGGCAGCTTCGATCCTTTTCTTCAATTACCATTCTTTTACGACCTCGTTGATACCCATACAACTTCACCATCACAATGGCTCCCGCTATCGTTTCCGACATTGAGCTCCCGGCCCATGTGCCCGAGACCAGAGAAACACCCGCCTCAAAAGCGTCAACGTTCAAGCTCTTCTCTCTCGAGAACAAGACTGTCGCTATCACAGGCGGAGCTCGCGGTCTGGGTATCACACTTGCCATTGCTGTCGTCGAAGCCGGCGGTAGCGTAGCTTGCCTCGATATTCTCGAGGAGCCATCACCAGCTGAGTGGGCACAGCTCAACAAGATCGCCACAGCCAACAAGGCTTCTGTCTCATACCGAAAATGCGACGTCACAGAAGAGCAGTCCGTCGAGACAGCGATGAAGGAGATCGCTGCTGAGGCTGACCAGTCTGGAGCGCCTTTCTGGGGAACAATTGCTTGTGCCGGCATCCAGCAACAAATTGCTGCGCTGGACTACCCAGCTGCCGACTTTGACCGCATCCTACGAGTCAATGTAACCGGTGTTTTCAACACTTGCAAGTATGCTGCACGCGTTCTGCGAGAGAAGAACAGCCCTGGAAGCATCGTCATTATTGGAAGCATGTCAGGCAATATTGCTAACCGAGTAAGTCCTCAAAACATCACCAAGCATACCCAAAAAGCTAACAAGAAACAGGGCCTCTCTTGCACAGCTTACAACTCCAGCAAGGCTGCTGTTCAGCAAATGTGTCGATCGGTCGCTCAAGAATGGGGTCAGTACGGTATTAGAGTCAACACGTTGTCTCCCGGATACATTAGAACTGCCATGACGGATCAATTGCTTCACGAGAACCCCGAGGTTGAGAAAACATGGATGGCGGGTGCGTTGCTGGGTCGCCTTGGTGCCCCTGAAGACTTCAAGGCCCCAGCTGTATTCCTGCTGTCTGAGGGTGCTTCCTTCGTTCATGGAACGGATTTGAGGGTCGATGGAGGACATTGCGCATCTGCATGATTGATTAGAGCGTTCGTTAATATGAGAAACTTTACGATTTGATTGCGGGATGCCCCAGAAACGTCAAACTGTCCGAGGGATCTACTGATTGACCGCCCATTCCACTACATTCAGAACGGAGACCGTTGCTAACGAGCGCCCGAAAGCCATCTTTGTACCCAATTAAGGCCACATGAAAAGAGATAAAGTTATTTACCTCGTTGAGCTATTCAAACGCCAGCTGACCTTAGTGTATGGCGTCCACTGCCACCACCAAAATCATGGCGCTAATTCAGCCTCTGGTGCTAGTCGCGGAAGCCTTGCGAGGTTGTTTCAGTAATTTGGCTGCCTCAGCTGAACCCATATAAAACGAGACAACTACCCATATCTTTGTGCCATTCAATCAATAACATCACATCAATCGCAATGGCCTCTATAGCCCTCTCAGAAAATGCACACAAGGCGCTGGAGCCTTTGCACCTCCAAGATCGTATCATCGGTACCATTTTCGGCTCAGCGCTTGGAGACGCAATTGGCTTATACACAGAGTTTCTGTCTGCCGACATCTCGGCAAAAGCATATCCCGACCGCAAATTTACGTTGCTCCCTGCTGAAAAAGCGACACCTTTCCGACGCGACCATCACAGGAATTTCCATCGTACTGGAGAATGGACTGATGACACCGACCATGCTGTTCTGATACTGCTTTCATTCCTCCACAGCGATGGCAAGAAGCTTGATCCACAAGACTTTGCTTCAAGACTGTCAGTTTGGGTGCGTATGGGACTGAGAGCGCTGGATACCCTGCCTCTTGGTCTTGGACGCACAGTCGGTGGAATTGTGCGCAGCAAATCTTACTTAAACGATCCTGAGGCCACAGCACGAAATTTCTGGGTGACGGGGAAGTACAATGCTGCGCCCAACGGAAGTCTGATGAGAACACATCCGCTGGGGCTCATGTGTCTTGCCAAGTCCGTTGAGGAGACCTTTCAGGTCGCGGCCGACTTCTCTGTCGTTACACACGTTGATCCCAGATGTGTGGTCTCTTGCGCCATTGGCACGGCTCTTGTTCGTGGCCTTGTCCTCGGCGAAGTTTACGAAGAGCCACATGTCGATGAGTTGATCGAAACTGGCCTCACGTGGTACAACGAGCGTCGCGAGAAAGAATTGCAGGATCCAGACAAGAAAGACGAGCCCCGCCTGGACGTTGAAGAGTTCAAAAAGCATGCGACAGCTCAATCTCTCGCGGACCTCAAGTTGGATGAGAGCTACAAGATCGGATACGTTTACAAGACATTTGGCTCTGGTATCCTGCTTCTTCGACTAGCACTGCGCCAACTCAAGTCTTCTGGACAACTATGCTCCCAGCTTGCCATCTTTGAGAAGCTCATCACCGATCTGACGATGGAAGGCGGCGATGCAGACACAAACGCTTGCTTTGCCGGCGCTCTTCTAGGAGCATTGCTTGGATACAAGTCCTTGCCTCCACATTGGCGCGATGGTCTCCGTCATGGGACATGGCTTATGGAGAAGTCTGAAGGACTGTGCGACGTGCTAGGCGTGACGAAGGGTTCATACTTCGGGTCGCGGGACAAGGATACTGCGGAGGATGGTGGGCGTGGGTTCTTGACGGATGCACAGATGGAAGAGAAGTGTATGAGGATGCAGGCTTGGATGGCACAGGAGGAAACTGAATGGAAGAAGAAGCAAGAAATCGAGAAGAAGAAACCCAATTGGTTTCCTTGGAAATAGTGGTTGGAATGATACCTTGTAGCCTTTTCATGGCATATGTTTGACCGCTTTTAATCACCGGGATTATGTTACAGTTCCTGCTCTGTTAAACCGATGTAAACAATGACTTTGGTATTTGCCAAGCCGATAGCATATATAATACAGTACTAAATGATCATAAATTGAACGTCATATTGACCATGATTCAACATAGCAGAGGTATAACAGGCCCCTTTTCGTTCAACCCAGGTCCTCCAACATTTTACTCCCTCATATGGACCTCAGCCTCAAACTTCTCATTACTCTCAGACTCCCCAGTTTCACCACTGGCGCTCTTCTCAGAAGCCTCTCCAGGAACACCCATGCTGTGATCCCAATGAAGCAAGACCTTTGGACCAGTGAAGAGCTTGTCGATCTGCTCAAGAGACAATAGTCGGGTCTCGGGATAGAAGAAGTAGATGAGGGGAACGAAGAAGGCGTTGAAGATGCAGAAGTAGATGTACGTCTTCCAGCCAATACTTGAGATGGACACGGGAGTGATCTCGACGACGAGGAAGGTGAAAATCCAGTTGGAGGCTGTTGCGAGGGCGGCGGCGCGGGTTCGAATGGCCAGGGGAGCGTATTCGGCGGGCACTTGACTCTGTTAGCTGGGCTGGTTCTGGAGGCATTGAAGTGGGTTGACTTACAGAGCCAGGGGATGGCGAGCAATCCGACAGCAAAGAAGAAGTCTATCGTTTAGTTAGCTAAGTTCGTTATCTCTCAGGGGCTGACTTACTGAACAAGAAGAGCATGACTATGGCGACAATACCAGGTCCAGGCTGCCCAGTAGACACAGTTCCGGCCAAGACCGCCATGCAGACTGCTTGACCAGCGGCGGCAAACATCATCAACTTGCGGCGACCGAGACGATCGATGATCCAGATGGGGATAAGCGAAGAGAAGAAGTAGGCGACACCATTGAAGCCAGCAAGTAGGAGACTCAGGTTATGAGAAATGCCGACTGACTCTTGGAAGATGACGGGGGCGTACTGTAACTTGGTGTCAGTCGCTTGAGGTTTGATGGATTGACACTTCTATTCAATGGACTTACGTATGTGATGAGGTTGATACCGGAAAGCTGTTAGAAGAGCGTGTTAACCAAACCTGATCGAGAAGACGATGCGAAGATTCTTACCTGTTGCATGAACTGTCCGCCGATACCAAGCATTGTTCGATACAAGAACTTCTGCTCTCCATTCTTCCACATAGCCTTGAAACTGCTCGTCTGCGCCGCCTCGCGCTCCTCATTAATAGCATGCTGAATCTCAGCAATGGCACGGCTGACAGTCTCATCCTCCTTGGAGATAGACTTGGCATCTCGGCGCACAGCCCAAAGAACCTCGCGTGCCTCGTCGTGAAGGTCATGGTTGATGAGCCAGCGAGGGGACTCGGGAAGAAGAACGATTCCGATGAAGGTCAAGATGGCAAAAAATATCTGGAAGGCAAGGGGGAAGCGGAACTGGGCATCATTGCTGACGTAGGACATGCCGTAGTCAACCCAGTATGAAAGCATGACGCCGAAGATGTTGATTGCGAGTTCAATGGCAAGGCCCTTACCACGGTTGCTGGCTTTCATGAGTTCAGAGTGCCAGACAGCTAAAGACTGTTAGTTGAGATCTCTGATAGAGTCAGGGGCAACTTACGAATGGTACTGGTGTTCATGCCGTTTCCGAGACCAGCTACAATACGGCCAACGATCATCTGAGGGATTCCGAAAGCTGATGCTTGAAGAGCGGCTCCGATGCTGAGAACAACACAGCCCATCATGATACACTTGCGACGACCAAAGTACTCGCCAAAGATGAGACAGAAGATGGCGCCGAAGAAGCAACCGATCTCGTAAATGGCGACCACGGTTCCTTGAAGAGAAGAACTGCCGTTGCCTCCATCTGTAGTGTCGATCTCGGGAAAAGTGTTGGTGAATGCAGTACCTGTCAACAGGCCAGACATAACACCCTGATCATAACCGAAGAGGAGGAAGCCAGAACCAGCTGTAGCCGTGATGGCCCAGTCCAAGGGTCTTCCAACAAGGATCGTCATGATGAAGAATTTGATGAGAAGTGAAGAAAACAGAAGAAGCTATTCAACAACCAATGTTGATGCTGTCAGTAACAGTAAAAGATGGGGCGATTCCATATCAATATATACTGCCTCTGAAGTGACAATTCGGCGACGAGAAAATTAGATCAATTGTTGACTCGCGCAAAACAAGGTTCGTTCCAAGGCCGTGACATGGCGCCAGTTCCCCGTGGGGAGTCCACTGTACCGTAACATTGGATCATCTGGGGTTTTTGCGGGTTAGACGAACGGTTTCGGTTTTGAGAGACGTGAGGCATTTGCAAGCGCTGGAGTGAATATGGGGCATTTAGGCAACCGAATTCAGGGATGAGGTTCCTGGGTTGCCCCGTTTCTGCGAAAGAGTGAGTTTTAGCCGATGGAATGATACGATAACTATGAATTGAGGGTGTCATTGAAGATGGATGGTTTAGCGAAAACACCTGTGCATTGGAAGACTTGTGGTATTCTCAGGCAGGATAGTTGCAGTATGCCTAAGCGTAGGTGCCCTCCTGATGCAGCCACAAACAATAAGGTAGTCAATTATTTGTGCAACGAACTAAGAGAAAGGCTTTGATGCCAGAGAAGACAAACACACCAACTCTCGAAATTACTCAACTGATCAAAGAAAAAGCGTGGTTTTGATGTTGGAGCAATTGGATGCTTGTCAAGGTCCGCTTAGACCTACCAAGATCGGCTGCAAGTTGGAGTTCCCCTCCCCATCTCCACTCCTTACTGCAACACCCCAGGATGGGTAATGGACTTTTCGTTAGAGACGACACTAATTCGCATACAGATGCCCTACACCTTACGCATTGTATACTCTCCAAGGGTGCGTATACTTCCCTTATCCGATTCGTTGTGAGATATATTCAAATGGCTGTTTGATGTTTTGCTGACACTATCTCGAAAAGAATAATGATCATGATCGGATTAGGAATCTGGGAACGCTCTGCAGGAACCATAAGATAAAGATGCCATGAGGTATCAAAGACGAAGGATTGGCAAACTCCCTTTTGTTTGGACAAGTGTTGGCGCTTTGTGCGACATCGACACCATAGCACACGACAAACACTCCTCAAAATCATGACACTAGGTATGCGCTTGTGGAAGCAAGACGAGCCAGTTGTTGACCAAAAACCTCAGGAAAGAGCTTCATCAATGGCGTCGCCAACTCAGTCGAGCGAAGCCTCAGGAGTTGCATTCTCCACGACCCATCGTTGAGTCTCGTCGCATCAGAGAAAGGTGATATGATGACCTGCAACAGCAAGCAAGACTAGACTGACAGCCGCTTTAGTTCTTTATCGACGAATGGACCAAAGCAATGACAAAGTCATCCTCATTTCCGGCGGAGGCTCCGGCCACGAACCCGCGCACGCAGGATACATCGGCGAGGGAGCATTGGACGTCGTGGTCGCTGGCGAGATCTTTGCCTCCCCTTCCGCTTCACAGATCCTCACAGGCCTACAGACTATCAAGTCGTCAAAAGGGTACGCCTATGCCCCATAGGGGTCGAGTGTCTGGCTAACCAGTGGTAGATCGTTGATGATCGTCAAGAACTACACAGGCGACAAGCTCAACTTCGGCCTCGCAGCAGAAAAGGCAAAGGCAGACGGACAGAAGGTTGAGATGATTATTGTTGGAGATGATGTGTCAGTCGAGGGAAACACGCTTGTTGGTCAGCGTGGTCTTGCAGGAACAGTCTTCTGCCATAAGATCGCTGGCGCAAAGGCAGCCCAGGGGTATGCATATCCATCATACTGACCAAGCCAAAGCTTACCTCCTTTACACAGAGCCTCCCTCGAGCAAGTCGCCTCCACTACAAGAAAAGCCGCATCGCAAATGGCCACCGTCGCAGCGAGTCTCGATCGATGTAGTGTTCCCGGACGGGCGATTCAAGAAGCCCTTCCCCATGACCAACTCGAATTCGGAATGGGAATACACAACGAGCCGGGTGTCAAGCGCGAAGAAATCTCGAGCCTTGAGGTTACAGTTGAGAAGGCATTGAGTATGATGTTCACTCCCAAGGCCAATATGTGGCAACCAGAAAGGGGGCAGTGTGTAGCTTTGATGGTCAACAACTTGGGCGGCTTAAGTGTCTTGGAGATTAGTGTTGTTGCAGACGAGGTGGTAAAGCAACTGGTCGAACGTGGCATACGTATCGAAAGGAGTCTTGTTGGCACTTTTGTTACGTCGCTCGATGGCCCTGGCTTTTCTGTTACACTGCTGTCACTTGACGATGAGTTGACAGAACTGCTTGATGCTCCCACTACCGCACCTGCTTGGCCACGTTCGATTCACGGCTGGGCAACAGATATGGAGTCTGTATCAAAGCGTGAGACGACAATTCCTGTAGCGAAGGGCAATGGTAAGGAGACGGGAGTCAAGGGTATGTTGAAGATGAAGCGATCTGCCAACATCAAACTGATCATTCGTAGTGCCGACATCACTTGTCAAGGTTCTCATTGAATCAGTGGCACGAACAACAACGAGGGATGAGCCGAAAATCACAGAATACGACACCCTGGCTGGCGATGGAGACTGTGGAGAGACGCTTCTGAATGGAGTAACTGGTATGTTCCCACCGAGCCTCATTAATTGAGATACAGCAATGTTGATACCGTCTACGTGCAGGTCTTGTTAAGGAGTTCGAAAACGACGACGCAGTTTCCCTTGACATTGGCCAAGTCTTCCGACGAACAGCGGCAACCGCAGAAAGGAGCATGGGTGGCACGTCGGGCGCCATCTACGCCATTTTCCTCAACGCTGTAGCAAACCGACTTTTACAAGTGACTGCCGAGTCTCCATCGCTAACGGTCTCCGAGTTCATACAACAAGCTCTGCAGGGCGGCTTAAGCGAGCTTTGCAGATACACACCCGCGCGTATCGGCCATCGCACACTAATGGATGCACTTATACCATTTGTCAAGAACTACTACCTGGATGGCTCACTAAGGGCTGCTCTGGCAGAGGCGCGGAATGGTGCTGAGAGCACACGGCTGATGGTAGCGGCCCTGGGACGGGCGAGCTATGTTGGACAGGAGAGGTTCGATGAAGAGGGCGGTATTCCTGACCCTGGAGCTCTAGGTGTTGTGAGCATTCTCGAAGGTCTTCGCGATGGATTGGATACTCGAGCCAATTGAGGTGATTGGCGCAGTCGGCAATCGGATGGAACTGTTTCTTCGCTTCAAGTTCCTGGAGAATATCTTTATCCTGATGATGATGATGATGGTCTAGCCGAGTATAGTCAAGGCAGACCAGGATGAAGAGCACTGTCCACCCACTAAAGAACGCCACACTGCCTTTCCAGAGCACACAGGGCAATTGTAAGCGGAGGTGAACTAATCCCAGTTCAGGAATGTTTCGAGTTGAAGACTTGTTTGTCGGGGAACCAGCAAAGACTCGCTTTTTTATTCATTTCAGCATCAATTACTTGCAAATTAATAGATCATGTCAGTGTTTTAGTTCCCTCTAACCGTTTTATGGAACAATTGCCGATCACGAGTCTTTTTTGGTATGGCAGGTCGGACCCCAGATTCTGGCGTCTACAATTGCCCTGCCCCTCCAACTTTTGGACATCTTCACTCTCGCCTTCACTTTCATCTCCACTCGTTCTCCCAATAAGTCATATCACCAATTCTCACCCGGAATCACAATCCCGGCTACAGTTGACTTATGGACCGTCCCTCCGCATCCCGGGCCCGAGTCCGGTCCGAACCCATCAAGCATAAGCGGACCCGCTCCGGGTGTCTCAATTGCAGACGGAAGAAGCGTAAATGTGATGAGAGTCGGCCGGCCTGCGGAACGTGTCGTCGTCGCAATGAGTCTTGCGAATGGGGTCTCAAGATTGCGTTTCGAGCCGAGCATGCTCAATGCTTGAATGCGCGGCATCCTTCGATGAGGAAGATGGCGAGGAGGAGGCAGCCGAGGGAGTTTGAGATTCTGGATGTGACAGATGAAGTCATTCGTGATTACAATGGTGCTGAGACGGAGGAGGAGGATAACGAGACTAGTGATGATCATGCGCGCCCAAGCACTTCTGGTATGAACTTGATCTGCATCATGGGTCGTTTGTAGATCTAACTTTCTTCTAGGTCGCTCAAATCTCATCGTCGGCGGAAGACCTCGCGCCGCAAATAATACATCAAGTGGCTATGTCTCTATACAGCGAGCACCGGTAGTCGATATCTCATCACCGACATCGCAGCGCCAGACCGAAAACGCCGTAGCCGACCTACTTTATTTCAGCCAAAACGGGCAATCTCATTCCTCAGTCGACATTGATCCTGCTCTGCAAGTTTCCATGGAGGCGATTCCAATTGACATGATAGCAGACTATCCGTACATCGACCAGATGCAAGCATTTACCCCTGAGGGCATCTCCGAGGACGGTATCTTCTTGCCAGGCTCTGCGTACCACGAGTTACACTCGACACTCCGTAATCATCTCATCCAAGAGACGCGGTCAATTGCTCCAACAAGATCAACAACGCCGCATATAGAGGTTGAAAGCTCAGGGGGCGTCTCCTTGGAAGAAACCGGGGTCACGATCCCAATACAAGAGTTTCAGCCCTCACAGACACTACTGCTCTCTCAGCAAGAGGAATGCTCGCTATGGAAGAACTACTTTGACGAAATTGCCCCCTGGCTCGACAAATTCGACCGAGACCGCCATTTCCAGCAGATTATCCCTACAATGAGTAAAGACAACGACCATTTACGATACTCGATGCTGGCACTCTCAGCACGACAACTCGAACTTAAGCATACACTACCGACGAATCGTAGCCTCGCCCTCTATCAAGAAGCCATTCATATGCTCCTCCCACATTTGCCGACCCGCGGAACAGCTGTTATCGCCACATGTGTTATCCTTTGCGTGCTGGAGATGCTGAGCTGTTCACCAAAGGCATGGCAACGCCATCTTGATGGCTGTGCGAGTCTCATGGAAGCTGTTGGCATCAATGGATTTGTAGGAGGGACAGAGCAAGCCTTGTTCTGGTGCTTTGCGCGTATGGATATCTGCGGTGGACTCATATCGTCTGTCAAGACTCTCATTCCTATCTGCCATTGGGCCTCCAAGACGTTATCGATCGAAAACGATGTCGAGCTCTTCAAGAATGCTCCAACGTTTGAGGACTGGGCTAATTATGCTGTGTATCTCACCGCTCAAGTCCTGGATCTGTTAGCTGCCTCCCCTACTGATCCAACTCGCGATGAAGCCAAGTTCCGGACTCGATGGCTCAAGTTGTGGAAGTATATCTCTGAATGGTACCAAGAGCGTCCAGCTCCATTGCATTCCATCATGACTATCCCTTCGAGCGAGTCCTCCCCGTTTCCGACGATTTTGTATTCGAACCCTGCTGCCATGTCAGGGAATCAAATGCATCACGCAGCATCGATTCTTATGCTACAGAACCAGCCATCGACAGTACGACTAGGCCATGCTTCGAAACCAAGAAGTATCCTTTGGCATGCAAGACAGGTATGTGGCATAAGTATGTCGAATGAGCATCACGGTGCCTGGACGAATAGTGTGCAACCGCTGTGGATTGCTGGTAGATGCATGAGCCATCCAAGTGAGCATAAAGCGATCTTGGAAATGTTGGACCGGATCGAAAGGGAGAGTGGATGGAGTACAAAATGGAGAGTCGACGATCTGAAAGAATTCTACAAGTGCTCCTTGTCAACTGTATGAAAGAGATGATTTATGAAATTCGGAGTTACCAATGGGTCAAAGACAGACCAGAAGGTGTGCAGTTGATATTCTTGGCGATATTTAGCGTTTGTGGTTGCAGTGGGACTTGGCTTTGGTTTCATGGAGACTTTTAAGAAAATTCCAAGTGAGCTTTTTGTACCCAGGAATTCAAGTTCCCTTTAGATGAAATTTGGAAACGCGTTTGATATTTGCGTTGCTGAGCGGAGGCCTTATGCTGGGGCTCACGTGCCAAGGGAAAACAGGTGAGACGGTCATAGGTCAAAAATAATCCCACACTTCTCGAGCACACGTCAGGATTCCCCCTCACTAGTCAACCCAAACGGAATCTCAACAAGCATAAGTCTTCCGCATCACATTCATTTCTCTTCATTTCTCTTCATTGTATTCCCATCGTTATGTCGTTGTCCAAGCCCGAGCGTGTTCATGATCTTATCGCCCAGAATCCTCGAGTTCGTGTCTGGGTTCATCCGCTCGAGTGGTCCGAGATTCACCTTAAACTTCTCAACGCCTCCTTCACTGAAATTGACACCAATGAGATCTCTGAGAACCACGAAGATGGGACAGCTCAGCCATCTGAGACTCAGAAGTCCGCGGTTTCTGACTATCGAATCGTCAGACAGTTCGCGCAAACCTCGATGAAGAGCAAAAACCTCAAGATTTTGATCTGTGACAACGGACCTCTTAAGCTCCTCCGGTAACAATCCAGATACTAGCATCTCCATGCTAAAGATCCTAACTTTGAGACCTAGACCTCGCGGATACTTCTGCTTCGGCGAGGAGAAGCCGCTTGATCTTCAGGGCGCGATCTTCAACCAACGCGAAGCTGTTCACAAGGACAGTTACGCTGGGGCATTCGCGTTCATCCAGGGGAACCTGATCAGGAACCTCCGTGAAGGACTTTTTCCTCTTCCCAACCGTCTTCGTCATGACCCTGCCGCCAAGTGGTTAAGAGAACTGCGAGTCAAGAAGATTGAGCCCCAGGATCAGTGGCGTGACCCCTACATCCTTTGTGTCCTTCTCGGGCTTGCTCAGTCTCAGGCAGAGGATAAAACCTCCCCCAAGTATCCTTTCGCCGAGGATCATATCTTCAAGGTAAACCTACCCCTGGTGCTTACATGACTCGTCTAGGATGTTTGTTGACACTAGTGTAGACTTGTGCTGCGTTGACTGATGACAAGAACGAGGACTTCATGTATTTTTATACCGCTGAGTTCTCGGTTGCTTTCGTCAGCAAGTTCGAGTATCCCCTTGATCTGAAGAAGCCAAAGGATGCCATGTCCTCCGAGCTGCCCATCGGCAGGAAGCGGATCCTCTACCGGCCCTACAAGACCTTCCGGGCTCGTCTCCTCGCGGAGATCTCCTCTGCCCTGTAAGCAGATGGAGCTACCTGTCGGTTCGGGTAGGCTCCGGGGCTGAGAACCGATTCACTATCAGCCGACTGGGATGAACAAGTCTATTTTGATTTTTTTGTCGGGACGACAACTTCAGTTGAACCAATTAGTGGCATCCTACTGACTATGGATGCACGATATGCATGGATACAGCACCATTTTTCTCATTGCTAAAGCCCATATGGAATTTGTTTAGGTAAGTGTTTATCCTTCGGGAGATCGTCTATAAAGGTGTAAGGCCATTAACAAGCTGACCACGATAGAACTCTAAAGTTCAAATAGGTTATTATCGGGGATCCCGATAGACGAAGGAAGCACCGAACTGCCTATTCGGTTGCGATTCAGGTTACATGCCGTACGCATTAGTATTTAAAGACCATGGCGGAACATGTATACCTAGTTACTTTCCACCAGTCTTTATACAGCTCGTCACTCCAATACGAAACTCTAAACACAATCTATCGTACTACAACGGTGCCGTGGGCGGCTAAGTTGCCTGATTGAAACAAAGTGGCCGGGGTCCCCCTTGCAAGGCTGGGATGGCTCCCCGTAGGATACCGAAACATCGGCCGAATTACTGTCTCTTCCTGAAGCACGCTCATCACGATCTAGATGAAACCAGGGTGTCTTTTGTTCATTGCTGGCGGTTTCATGGACGCGTTGCTCCGAAGTTCTCGACCATCTGTCGACTGGGAACCCCTGCTAGTTCCCGTGGGCTTCCCGGGTGGAGATTAGAGGACCTTGAGACTGAATCAGTTGAGGTCGGAAGTTGAGCAGGTCAGTATTCGATCTTTTGCGATGTTCTGAGTATAAAAAGAGCCAGTCTATTCGTCAAACTGAAGATGTTTTCACAGGTCACTCACCGATCATCTACTACTCCCTTATTCAGCCCCAAAGATTCTCCTCCGTTCTTCTCTGCACCATGAAGTTCACTTCTGTTCTCCTCGCCGGCCCAGCTCTCGTTGCTGGAAGATATCTCAGTGACGAGGTCACCTCTGGAACTTCGACTCACTACGGCGGCAATGTCTCTGGAGGCAACTGTGGCTTTGTTTCCTACACGATTCCTTCTGGCATCTATGGCACTGCTTTCTCTGGCCCCAACTGGGACAATGCTGGAGTCTGTGGTAGCTGTATCGAAGTCACGGGCCCAACCGGCAAGAAGATCAAGGCGATGGTGAGTACCCTTATGGTCTGATGGTTTGTGAGGCGAGCTGATGTATCTTGCTCTTAGATCGTCGACAAGTGCAACGAGTGCAACAAGGGTCACTTGGATCTCTTTGAAAATGCCTTTACTGCTGTTGGCGGTACGAACGGCCTCGTTCAGACCAGCTGGAGACTGATTTCGTGCGATATCACTACACCTTTGGTCCTACGCAACAAAGAAGGTGAGTTGGCAGCATGCTCTGCTCTAACCGCACCCCCAAGTTCAACAGCTAACGCTATCTTAGGCACAAGCGCCCACTGGTTCAGCATGCAAGTCCGCAACAGTAACCTCCCCGTCAAGAGCCTCGAAGTTAGCACCAACAGCGGAAAGACATGGACCGGAACGACTCGACGTGACTACAACTTCTTCGAGAACCCCAGCGGTTTCCTGGTCGATACTGTCGATGTCAGAATCACCAGCTCCACCGGCAGCACCATCATCGTCAAGAACGTCGGAGCCAAGCCTTCAACCGAATACCCAGCCAGCGGCAACTTTGCTTAAGATAACGGAGTTGTTTCCCTGTTTCCGGAAGAACAGTTGGCAATGGAGGGTTGGTGGAACGCTGCTACGAAGGTGATTTGATGGCGGAAAGATTGGGGGCCATTCTTGGGAGATTGTACATATTTAGATTCTTCGTATATATCAACCTTTTCATCGATGGCATCAAGAGCTTGATAATTTTAACTCAGTGAAGCCTTAGAGTGGAACTAAGTCCACGTTATGAAAAAGTGTTGATGTAGAGCATGTCCGCTTACATGAGCAGTCCGAGATTATTTCTCACAGTAACTGTAAAGCCAACTCTTAGATATCGATTTGAGGCGCTACTCTCAACATGATTGGTCGGCTTAATGTTGCTTGGCGTCGGATACGTGGAATCTGACGTCTGTTTTCCATCTACACAGACCATCCAAACACTTTCACCTCACACCATCTTATCTCAGAAATACCCGACAAAGACAAGCGATGTCAGCTCTAGGCGTCAGCAAAGTGGCCATTCCATCATGCTGCGGGCGTGTATTTTTAGCGCTTATAAGACATGTATAAATCAGCATTTCCTGATTGTTGAAAATGGTTTCTTTGCTAGACGTCTGATAATTCCTACAGCTAACTCTTCTGTGTCTCGATCCTCACCAGGCCCAGTAACGTTTCTCAAGTGGCTATACGCGTCTTTCCAAAATGTCCAGTCCAACGGCAAACGAGGAGACTACCCTCCTTGATACCTTCGACTCTCGCGAGAGCCACGAAATCTACAATATCAAACCCCATCCGATCACCGGCCGCCTCATAGATTCCTATCCAGTCACTCGTACAAAGCCCATGCGCGTCCTATGCCTCGGACAATCAAGAACAGGCACCATGGCCCTCTTCATGGCCCTCAAGCAACTAGGCTATACGCCATACCATATGTCCACCCCCCTCGGAAGCCCCAAGACAAACCTAGGTCTCTGGCGTGAAGCTCTTGATGCCAAGTTCTATGGGAAGGGCAAGCTCTGGGGTCGTGAAGAGTTTGACAAGATACTTGGGCCGTACGATGCCGTGGCTGATTTGCCGGCCATCTGCTTCGTTGAAGAGCTCGTGGCCGCGTATCCTGAAGTCAAAGTTATCGTCACTCAGCGCGATGTAGATAGCTGGCTTCGAAGTATGGACTCGACGGGAGGCCGAGTCCTCCGATGGCCCCTATGGAATACTCTCGCAAGATGGGATACCGCACTAGCTGGCCCGTTCTGGGAGTTTTCAAAGAAGGTCATGCCCGCCAACTTTCATACCATGACGGACTTCTCTGATAAGTCACCAGCTCGCCAAGCCTTCCACGATCACTACGATCTCGTCAAAAGGATGGTTCCGTCTGAAAGAATGCTCGAGTTCAAAGTTCAAGAGGGATGGGGTCCGCTTTGCAAGTTCTTAGACAAGGAGATCCCTGGGGAAGAGTTCCCGAAGCTGAATGATTCAAAGCAGTTTGTTTTGGCACATAGTTTGATGTGGTGGATTGCTTTTGCCAAGATGGTTGGAAAAGCTTCGTTCATGACTGCTGTCTCTGGAGTTATTGCTTCGGTATTTGCGATATGGAGGTTGAAATATGCTGTTAAGATCGCTGCTATGCTGAGGCCAATCGCCGACTTGTCTTGATTTACTGGGGCCTTGTAAGTAACGGGGATGCTTTCTTGTTTACCCTTGCTAACGATATATTCGCAGTTTGATATTCGAATAGTTGAATACGGCTTTTTGTTACCGAAATAGTATTGGTGACTTGAGTGCAATGCCCAGGGGTCGATCAGTGTCAAAAGGATCATCCACATCAGCCAGTGTCTGATACCAAATGAAATCCTTCTGTGTCTACAAGGATCCATTGAATAAACTTTTCTCGGAACTCCTGAAGAATCAACTTGCTCAGGACAATGTTTCCGCCCGGTGGTCAAGGGATGGTTCCCGAATAGGCTTCACCTGATCGACATTAAACGTTTTCAGGCGTAACTAAAAAGCCATCCGTGCTCGAGACTTCCAGTCTAGGCTGGCCTAAACATAAATGCTGAGCTATTGAATTTTAACGTAGTCCGGCTGATAGCCATACCTTTTCACATTAGTTCCAATCGTCCTTTCACCGACTTGGACCATCACAGCACAGTGTTTCGCCGTATCTCGTCTAGTTCCGCTCGGTTCATCTACCGAACGACCCAAATACCTGGGAATCAAGAGTCAAGACGGGCACTATCCCCAGTTCAACCATTTTCGAGACCGTTTCTTGCTATACGAGCCGAGAACCGGCTGTCACGGCCTTCAGGTCCAGGGTCCCTGAGTTACTAGTAATTATGCGTTATCATTCAGAGTAGCTTCAACCTTAACCAGTAAATTCCAGGCACTGCAGTCTTTACGACAATGGAGAGTGGCTTGAGCTTCCCGCGCTAATACTACGGAAACCGTCTAGTGTTGCACCAATTCCGACGACCTGAGAATAGTGGCTCCTTTGTTCGTTGGTCTCGAATGTCTCACATTCCTCATGACGCAGTGGGCTGGACTTGGACCTGAATCTTATAATTCAATCGCCACAATGTGAGCTCATATAAGTTTCGAAGCTTTCACTCGGATTCTTTGCCAAGACCCTATACTGTATCATACTTCACATCTCAAATCTTTCACCATGAAACTCATCACAAGCCTGATTCTCTTGGCCGCGGCCTTTGTGTCAGCGAAGCCTGCCGGAACAGTAGAGTGTGCAGCAATCTACCAGAGATGTATTGAAACAATAACGGTACGAAAAGCTTGCGTGGTGTTGGTCCAAAGCTAAATATCTTTATAGCCACAAGAGTGCAAGAAGACTGATCGAGATTGTCTTTGTAAAGCTTGGGATGATGTTATAACGTACGTACAAGTTTGAAATCTGTCCAACCTCACGAAAACTGATACTAACGACGGTCTCTGTAGATGTTTGGTCGACTGTCCAAATACTCCACGCTACTGGTTAGCGAAGGAAAATGCTAGGGGCTTTTGTACATAAGATTGATGAATATACAAGCGTGCATTTGTTGTTCAACCTCACTTTCTTATCCGTCTACATGACAAGATAAGCTACAACGAACAAGCCCATATCGCTGTGTTGGCGCAGCTTGCTCACAACGACTCAAGCATATCAGAATGGCGACATTTCAGCAGAACCATGGATGAGAGAAACTGCAAGCTACTTCTAATTTAAGGAGACAATGCCATTGACTGGATAATATGCAATGGTACCGGGACCTTGAATAATCAAAGGAAATCTGGGACGTTGTCTTTCACTTCTGGTTGTTACGAAGGATATTTCAGGTCTCAATCCTGAACGAATTTCTCCTTACTGGGGCGAAATACCGGATATGATGTGTTTATGAAAACTCACAACCGCTTACATGAAACTCATAAACCGCAATCACTTGCTGCTTTCAAATGAAGGCAAGAAGAACATCGTGTGAGCTCATCTCAACTGTATTAGGTTTACAGAACTGAGAAGCTGTCATGCCAAGTAAAGACCTTAATATCACTCTTCCTACCTTGAATGCAATCTATCAACACTAGGAATCTTTCGTCGTTCTGAGAATCAGTTCGAATTGTCTTTTGTGGTCACTGATCTTTCAGTACTCTCGTGTCACTCCGCCTTAGGGTAGTTCCACGGGATCAGGCCGACGAGGAGCGAGTGTTGCTTGTAACTCGGCTGTTTGACGGTCCGCTGGAACATCAGAGGGCTTCGATCCACCAACTCCTTGGGTCCATTATCCGTTTCTGTCTGACCCGGTGCTTCGGTCATCCCCTGCCCCGTCTCTGGCGTCGTCTACGGCTTCTGCGCACGACTCTTTCGAAGTAGATATAAAACCGCAACAGCAGTTCCGCAAACCACAGCCAGGCCCCCAACGATACCGCCGACTATTGCACCCGTGTTACTCCCCGATTCAGGTCGATTGTCATCAGAGACCTCGGCAGTGGCTTCTGTGGCGCTTCCCGACGAGGTGGTGCTTGTCTCTGTGACAGCTGTTGTGTCGCTGGAAGCTTTCGATGTCTCACTTGGCGATGTTGTTTGTGAAACGGCTTTTGTCAATGCCGGGACTTTTGGAGTGATGTAATAGGTATCTGTTGCAGCGGCGGCATCGCAGGCGACGTAGGTGTATTTGTGACCTTCGTCCATGATCAGGTATGCAAGACTGCAGTATTCGACCTTCTTGCTATCAATCCATTAGCTACTTCAGGAAAACTTCATGAATCTATAGTACCAGGATGTCATTCTTGGGGTTCTCTGTCTTCCCGCAGCCATCTAATCAATCATGCTGGTCACGACATCGCCCAGCAATACATTTCGAGTCGCCAGCACTCTTACACATGCCCCAAAGGCCATTTTGGGTACTGAAGCGACACACACTGCCAGACTCGGCTGTTGTCATAGCTGCTGGGTCGCCATTTTGTAACCGCATGTTATCATTTCAGAAGGTACAGCGCGTTGTTTAAGGCGCCGAGGCGTCTGGCTGGGCTGCAATGTCTCAGTTGCAGTGGGCAGTTCGGCGTAGAGCGCATTGCTGTGGCATATGTATAACTGAAACAATTAGAGAATCCATATTATTTGCTGCATATTGGGGTGTTTTGTCTCACTTGAGAGGGGGAAGAGAGGCAAGAAATTGAACAGCGACAGAGAACAAACACGCCAAATTGAATTGTTTTCATGTCCTACTTCTGTTTAACTGTGGGGACTTATCATGCTGAGTTCAATGTACAATTCATCAACCCAGTATGATTGTCAAGGATCGCATGTGTTGGTTGTGTCGTCGAACGGCCGTGTTAGTACCGTGTTAGACGGTTGGCCTTGACCGTTTTCATCGGAATTCGATGCCATGTTCCTTGCAGCAAATCGTTATCTTAACGCGGTTTTCATTGGGTGATACGACTTGGCATCTGACTTGGCTCGATACGGCAAGTTCCACTGTCATAACCCTTGCAGAGTCTGTGATCCTTGTCTTCTGCAAGTTGAGTGATTAACCCATCCAAGCTCCAATGATGAGATGACAGGTTCGGTCTAACGTGCCGAATTGAAATGAGATGAAGGGAAGGAAGAAGTAAAATTTGAGACGAGAAGGATTCGCCTCTGCTTATATCCCCGCGACAATCGTGCTCTTGACGGGAGTTTGCGCTGACTCCAATCAGTCAGCAAATTGACCTCGGAATGTAATCACAGATAGCTCATGATACCACGTCACAAATAGTTAGAACATTTCGTATAATATTGACCCAATCCAATGATTACAAGATCAAGCCCCTGCTAGCTCCCGTGTAAACGAGGTCCCCGAATAATGAGCAGTGGAGGTGGGCTGACCGCTGACGCTGACAGCCCAGGCTTCTCAGTAACATGCCCTCGGCCTTCAAACGGCGCTGCCGGGGTGTGGCCTTTAGCGTCTGTTAGCGGGCCCTCGTACTGGATGAGGCGTTTGTGTCTCAACCCAACCCTTCCCTTCAAGGCGATGGTGCTGTGCCTCGCCCTTCTCTCAGCCGCGCGAGTAAATTAATTATTGTTCTTTTAGTTTTCCCCTTCTTTTTCTTTCTCATCTTCATGCCTTTTTTTTCCTGTTATGGACTTCAAGTGTTGACGAAATGCATCGCAAGGTTTTTGTTCTGAGTGTCCCGCTCGTCTCCTTCTTGTTAGTCACAGCGAGCTTGTATCTTGGTCGAGATCATATAACCAGATTATCTGAGGCATACCTACCGCTTCATGCGCCCTCCTCCCTTAAGACCACGTCTACGGAAACAATATCTTTACCTTTGAGTACGACGTCAGTTCTGGATGACTCGCCTGTTATTGAGGAACCTCCTTCATATTCGACACTTGACACTTACACCACAAGTACAATCGAGGTACATACTACACCAACGATCTCCTCTACAACTTCAGCAGCACCGTCACCAACAATTACGAAATCTGCCATCCCAATCGCAAATGGTGAGTTGCTATCTTTGATCTTTTGGATAAGAGTGACTAACATGTCCCAGGCTCCGTTCTCTCTACCGAGCGCATTACACCTTACATCCACGCAATCCTCGATCCTACTTCAAAAGAGCGCCCTCGTCTTCAATGCCCTCCCTTGGACACCAAGCGATACAAGGACCTTCAAAAGAAGAAGGACGCTCGCGGAGGCAAAATCGACGAGCATCCAATTGACTTCTTCTTTGCCCTTAATTTGCGCAATGTCGTAGGCCTTCTTCCTCGCCTCATGGGCAGCATTGTGGAGGCCATTCAATTCCTTGGACCTGAACGATGCGCCCTCTCAATCGTCGAAGGCAATTCTCCCGATGGAACTGCCGACGTTCTTGTCGCCTTGCGCCCATTCCTCGAAGAGCTTGGAATTACTTACTTTTACAACAACTCTGCGATTAACCCGTCCAAGGGTCCTCGCATTCGCAAGTTGGCCCAATTGCGAAACTTGGCCTTGGAGCCGCTGTTTAAGAAGAAGGTTCCCGCTGCCGATGACACTACTGTCCTCTTCATCAACGATGTAGCTGCTTGTCCGGATGATCTACTTGAACTTGCGCTTCAGCGTCGTAAGCTGAATGCCGATATGACCTGCGCTATGGACTTTACCTACGCTGGTCCTGATCCCACATTCTACGACGTATGGGTAAGTTTGGCTCGATTTCTCTGACCACAGTGAGAAACTAACACACTGCAGGTCGCCCGAACACTAGCGGGAGACACATTCTTCCCCATCCCCGAAGACGGATCATGGGACAATGCCTGGGACTTATTCAGAGGAAACCGAGAAGCACGAATGCGATACGACGCCCATCTTCCTTTCCAAGTCTTCGCCTGCTGGAACGGCGCAACAGCCTTCTCAGCCGCTCCAATCCTCAGCGGCCTACGGTTCCGCGATCCCAAAAAGGACGAATGCTTCCAAGGCGAGCCGCAATTGTTCTGCAAAGACCTGTGGCACAGGGGCTACCGAAAGATCGCAGTCGTACCCAGCATTAGCTTGGAGTACACAGATGCGAGAGGCAAGGATATCAAGAAGTTGAAGGGCTTTACGAATGAGGTTATACAGCATATGGAGGAGGATAAAGCCCATATTGAGTGGCAGTACGAGCCGCCGGAGAAGGTCAAGTGCATGCCTTCTTTTGATCGCCAGACGTGGCTACCGTGGGATGAGTCATTGAAACGATAGATGTTTTACGGTTGTTTTCTTTTGTTTTTTTTCTGCAATTGGGTTATACCAGCATTGTTAGACTTGGGTGGTGTTGATGGAGTTCATTCATGGCTGTCTATTCTCTGTACCAAAGAATCATAAACTTCACGATGAAATCATCATACGTTTCCGAGCATCAAGATAATGGCTTGAAGGCCGTTAATGGCTAGTTCATGGATGACGATTGTCATGTGCAGAATGGTTACATCGAGTCGGAAGTGGCATGTCCACCGTCTCAGTTCAACGTTAACTCAGATCGCCAAGGGCACGCTAGTTCGCTGCAAGTCACTGGGCAGTGCTCAGCCCTAGCGACTAATTATAGGCCATCGTAAAGTCAATGCGAAGCCACATCGAACACGGACATGGCCGTTGCGATGGCTGCTTACTGGTCATGGGGCACCTGAAAGGCGAAAGCGCCTGGTATGAACATTCACTCGGGCCATTAAGATTTCTACTTTTATGTTGAGCAATTAAGTACAGCAACACTGTTGACAATATCTAATTCATCTAGTGTCTTACGTCGTAATCTATCTGATGCGTTCTGAAGTTATTCGAGGGTATGAGCTAGCGGTAGAGCTCCCAGTGCCAACAAGCAAGATAACATAAATACCCCCATCCAGAAATCCATTCTCATACACAAATCCGTATGTTCGTCATTCATCTCTCAGTCTCACATTCCCTTTCCCTGAATACGCTCCGCAGCAATACCATAGGCAGAGAGGGTGTCGCCAACCTCACATGGATCCTCTCCGAACTCAACCTTCTCAAATCCTTGTGGGCGATCCTTTTCCAAGGCCATCTTGCCCATTTGCGCCTGGCATCGGAAGCTTCCAAATCGATATTCGACCACAGACCGACCGCCCTTTGAAGCGTCACCCTGAACAATGAGCTCGGTGATCTCATCGACCTCAAAGACGAAGCGTTCCTCGAAGAACTCTGTGAGGCAGCTGGGGTTAACAAAGGTGCTTTTCCCAGTGATGATGAGAACACGCGATGCAGGTCCCATAATGGCTTGTTCCCCATACTTGACGCGGTTGTGAGTGACTCGCACAGGGAAGCCGCGAACACTAAGACCCTGTGTAAGAGACTTGGAGAGGAGAAGCTGAGCAGGGCCGGGAGTGAAGAAGACGACCTTTGCAGCTGCGGTTTCGTGGCGCTGCCAGTCGGGCTCGTTAATGACAGAGCACCAGATGCGTCCGACGTTGCGGATCTGTCCAAGCAGTTCATGATGAGTAACATCAGGTGGGAGATTGGTCAACCAAAGGGCGCAGTTCTGCTCTGGGGTGAGACTCAGTGCGCTTGCATTTCGGGTGTTATGTTCTCCTTTGTAGTTGTCGGAGAAGATAGACTCGCGCGCTTCATCTTCGCGGGTCGTGTGGCTGGGAGGGCGAGTAATAGCAGCCATGGGCCTGAAGCCACGGGCATTTTGTTGATGAGCAGCCAAACTCAACTTTTGACGATGGTCGTCTTGGTTCTGGAGGTAAGGTCCCTTCTTCAGAGCGTCCTCGAGCCAGGAGGGGAGAACAGGACGCTGAGCCTCTTGGATGGGAGCAGGGGGTGTCCGAGCAGGGGGGAGAGTTATTGGGGAAGCCATGCTTTGGTGCTCGTTGATTCCGAGTTGGCTGAAGTGCCCCCTGAGGCCTTCCCATAAGGCTGGAGACGGAGCCAAGGCCCCAGGAAACAGGCTTCTGGTTGAAGCAGCATGGTCGGGAGGAGGAACAGCAGGCTGGCGGATAGGATTGGCTGGTGTAGCTAGCCCAGCCACATTCGAGTTGAAGGGCATAGGCTTTTGAGGCGTGAAATTGCAAGGCTCATGGTTACGCATATACATAGAGATTGGGCCGATTCGGAACTGAGGAGCTCGATAAGCGGGAGTTTCCTCAATGACAGCGTTCAGATTGGCCTGGGGAAGAGGGCCTCGATCCCTGTGGAGACTAGGTGATTCACCAGCAGCCTGTGAGAACGGCATGTGGGATTTGTTCTTGAGTTCGGAACCTGTGCTGATAGTGCTAGGCCTTGTGAATGGGCTGCTCAGCTGATAAGGCGGAGGAGTAACGTCGAGATCAGGGCTGCTGGAGCTCTCACGAGTGGTTGGAGTGGGAGGCGTTTCCATCTTGAAGAATAGTCAAGATAGAACTGGTGGTGACGTTGATTTGAAGATGAATAATTCTGATGTGCTGGATAAGTGTCGATAGAGTAGGGTACAGTAGAGGAGAGTTGAGTGAGATGATGATAATCAAGATTCGAAAGCCAGTAGAAGCGAAGAACAATTTATAGTCTACCTTATTTGAGAGTTGAGATTGCCTATTGTCGTAATTGAATGGTCCGTGAACAGCAAAAATATCGTTGAACAATGGCAGTGGTCGTTTCTATTCCTTCATCCCGTCTTCATTGATAGAAGCCAATGTGTGAAGCGGGGTTCCGAATAGAGACAATAGTGAACCATCAAAGGAAGTGAACAGGTAAAAAGAATTAGAAAAGACTGAGTTATATCATTGAGAATTTGCGTCGCCAAACTTTTCACACCGCGGTGGTTGAAGCACTCGGTTTGCAGCCGTGGCCCTCGGGTAGCTGCGCAGAAGATGTAGAAAAGCCTGCTGTCAGACAATAACTCAAATTGCGGTCAAGTATATTTGGATCGGTGAAGGAACGTTATTTGTAAGAGTGGATTTCAAGTTTGCGATTTGATAATTGATGATATGGTTGCTTGGTGGCATACGCTGTCTGTGTCTGAATTGTAGCACCTGGCAAGCAGCTGCTAGGCATGCGTCGTTTGATATCGACCGATGACGTCGTATTTCAGATTCAGTGACTGTTAACCAGGCCTGGTGAATGATTTGATGCCCACAGACAAGCGTTGTATGCTTCAAGAAAGAGATGCGACATCTTGCCGTTGAGTGTCACTCTGGATTTCTCTCAGTTCAGACCCAAGACCCTGTACACTGATGGCATTCTAAGATCCCCGCCTAGGTAGACAACCCTGCCCTGTCGATTGTTCATCCTGAGTTCAACGCTGCGCAATCTCTCGCACTGTGTTCGAAGAGCTATGGTATCCCATGCCTTCTTCGGTATTTGCCCTTGTCTGGCACCCAGTGACTTCCCTGTTCCGGGCGAGCATCGCAACGCCATCCCCAAGACCGCACTGGCCCTCCACTTGGTGAGCTGTTGCAAGTAATCTGCTCTGCATCTTCCAACGTATGTACCTCTGCGGAATCGTGTGTGGGGTTTCACAGCCGTCACAGCCGTCAGTCCTTTGACCTGGTAGTAAAGACCATTCATTACCCAATCGCCCTTGCGGCAAACAGAACAACCAGGTGTTTTCTAGACGCATGCCCACAGTTTCTATGGTAGAGAATAGAGCGAAATGGGTTAGCCACTTGCTGAACATCGAGGCAAGTTCAGCTTCAGGCGTGTAAGGGAAGGATGAACATCGCCACGCCCAGGATGGCAAGTGGTCCAGAGAGAATTGTTGAAGTATACCATCGTGTGTGAGATTAATGAGAGAATTCCTGCCGAGACAGTGATAGACAATTCAGACTAAAGCCTCTCTGACTCGTAGTCATGGCATCTATCAGAATGGATGCATACCATGTCATCTTCACCGTGGATCCAAGTTTTTCCATGCTTCTTCGACTCGTTTCAACGCCTGATAATATCTTCGAAATTGACTTGAGATGTCGAGTTGCTTATCCCTCTATCCATGGCTTCTTCCTCGACTAGAGGTATCGATTCGACAACACGAGAACGAACTGAAGGACAACTAGCCGAGTTTACGAGTGCTGGCCTGAGGAAGTCGTACCAATTTCCTCGGGAAATGTATGCTCGCCTCCCTCTCATTCAATGATAGACATTTAGTCATGTCCTTGTAGGACTAGTGGATATCAGAACTATCAGATACGCAAGGCTTCGTTGGGGCCCATGACCTCGAGATTTGCACAGCTCCAGGATGTCAGTACAGTATCTGTACATTAATCAATTTTTCATTCCAATTTCCGTGTCAAAAAGGCTGTTGAACTTGACAAATGCTTTCACTTTCAGACTGTTCATGGCAAAACATGGCTCGTCGGTTCACAGCTTGGCAGGCGATGTGCTTTTCAGAAAGGCCTGGCTGGCCACAAGGACTCAGCGACTTGATGAGGTCGGATATACAATGACGTGCGAATCTGCGCTGGTCATCATTGCCCATGCAATGATGGATCAATGGACGTGGCGTGTAAGTCCGTCAAGCAAAGGCCACTTCGTTTGTGAAGTGCAAGTGCCGAACCCGAGAGCAATTCGGTCGATAATGCCCAGCATTCTGAACGAGAGTTCAACAGTAAGAAGGATGAAATGCTGGTGATCCAATTCTGGCATTGACGTACTAGAATTTGGCTGCGATCTTCATCAACATCGACACTTGGGAATTGTAAAGCATTTACGTACGGTTGGCAAAACAGCATGGATGATATGCATGCACTGAAAGAAGAAAAAGGCAGAACTCTCTGTCCTACTAATAACCAGGTAACATCGAAAAGAATACAACAGCATGTCGGTCGGTTCCTGCTGATAACGACTTCATGTCCGCTGGCCTCCCCACTTGTTATTGTGCTAGACACCAAAAAAATGAACTTGCGGTTTATGTGGATCGAACACATGACCTTCAGATATCAATTGATTGAAGTTTGACTTCAGTCTGACGCTCTCCCAACTGAGCTAAACCCGCTTGTTGAACTCCTGTTAATTATTGCAGCCCATGACCATTCACTCTGAGGCAATGCTCCGCAGACGTTTGAAGAAAGGCGACAGAGAGATGGCATTTCCAGCCAGGAGCCCAGCGTCTGTCGCTGTTATGCCGCTCATCGAACTCTACCTTATTACCCAAAGTTAATTGGTCGCTTGGAGGATGTGTACAGTGAAAGTCAATTCAGGCTCTGCCTCTCTCCTCTGAGTTGCAGATGAGGTTACGCAGACAACCATCAACAGCATCGTATCAGCAGACTAGCGAATGAATCGATTTGGCTATAGTAACACACGACAAGAATCTGGGAACTTTCTTTTCCTCGTATGGAGCGGCAAATCTCACTCCCCGTCCTTGATGATATGATGCTGCCTCAGGAAGTGCCTTGTGTTGAGCCTCCTGAGCTATCGAATGTGGGTGCCTTGTGCGGGAGCTGGGCGAAGTAGGGCTGAAAATGCAAGAGGTACAGACAAAATAACACAGGTATCTTCCGAAGCACAAGCCTAATTATCACTGTCAGTTTGATCATCCTGAGGCCTCTTTTCTTTCAGCTACCTGCACTTGCTAAGTGGGGCCATGTTAGGCAGAGGCCCAAGCTTCCTTAGCGGGTCCGGGGAGGAGTCAGGACTTACAGGGGCCCCCACAGGGGCTTTTGAGCTGTAAGTCCTAGGCCAAGGGATGGGATGGGATGGACGGCAAACATCACCTCACTTTGATTCTGGCCACTGAGATCAACGTTTCAAATGATGCACGTAACACGACCAACAATCATGCATTGATAGACATCACTTTCTTGTTATTTGTCTCCCGTCTTTCAAAGTAATGACCAGTCAGAGGTCTATCAAAATGCAATTGGCGGGTCATGGCTATGTCTTTACCCAACAACCAAGACGCCTTTTTGCGAACTGCCTTTACATGTGCCTGTGCATGCAGCTTCACCTGCTGCCGCAGGCAATGGCTGACAACGGCGTCAAGGCCAACGGCGAGGCAGCAATGGCACCAGGCATCAGCAAGTCCTGAGCTATCGGATTGGATCCCATCCCTGCCAATCCTGTCCTTGGAAGCCAAAAGTCGGCTGTATTTACTGTGATTTACTGGCCCTAGATCTACACTCTAAGCCAGGCTTGTTTTATCTTCTCTTTCTCCCCTGCTAGGACGTTTTTGAACTTTAATCAGGCACCTCATCTATCGTCAAATATGACCCGCCTTCCGCCTCCTCCTCTCAGGCGATACTCATCCTCCACCATTTCATCATCCTCTTCCTCCTCCTCCACCCCATACGCCAGAAGATCTCGGTTCAGCATGCTCGAAAACGTTGGCGAAAACATTTCTGACATGACATGGAAATGGAAGTACAAGCTTCTCCACCGCAAGAAATCCCCTCTCGATGAGCCACTTGATCTTGAGAAAGAGTACAAGGAGGAGGAGCCCGAGGAGATAAACAACAAAGATCCGTCGTTTGGTGCCGACACCGTCATACAAACCCTCTACGAGGGAAAGAACTCGGACCCTGCGAGGAATGATTGGGACTGGCAAGACTTCCCACCCAAGCAAGTGTCCAAGGCCATTGCCAAGGCTCGAGACCGTGTTGCCATTAAGGTGTACAAGATCAAGGACATCCAGAAGGGCGCTATCTCAAACCGATACCCTCTCAAGTACCACCAAGTCGATGTTCAGAATCCTCTTCTTGTTAGCGCAATCGAGCCTATCCTGAAGAAGGAGAACCTCCATCTCGATGTCCATGATACCGCGGTCTTCAAAGAGCCTTTCCGCCCTCTGTGGTTCTGTCAAGATGAGATCCGAGACTTGTATCGCAATACCAAGCAGGACGACCCGCTGAAGGGATATCTGCAACTGTTCCTCAGAGTTCTTGATGAGATCTTCCGCGATCTCAAGATCAAGCGACGGAATTTGCTTGACAAGGATCTCATTGACTTCCGAACGGCCTGGACTCTATTCCCCAGGGACTCTACAGCCTACAGCTATGGAATGAACTCCGAGTTCATTGCAAAGGTGGATGGTACGGAGTACGACACCAATGAAGGTGTCATGCAGCTCGTCCTGACGGCCAAAGTCATGGCTTTCAATGGCGAGGAGTTCATCTGGAGGAAGAAGTCGCTTACGATCAACGAGTTCGCTGGAAACAAGCCCATTCGTGACCTTCGCCATTACCCTTTCGAAAGGCATCCAGAAAAGGATGCTATTGAACAGCGCTTGGTGTCGCGGGGCCGCAAAGTTCTTGACCTACAGGGCTTGACGTACTGCTCATACAACGGCATTGCTCTGCACCCGGGAGAATCTGGCGTTGAAAAGCATAACGTGGAGTGTCGTATCCTAGTCGATGTGGTCGGATATAACAAATACCACCTTGCCCAAGGAAAGCGCGAAAATAAGGACCCAGAGATCGAGGTGGTCGATGTATCGCGCCGCCGCCGTAGACAGGATCTCGCCGACGCCAAGCCTGAAGGCAAACACCCCAAGACACAGCAGAAGAGGCTCAATGAGGAGGATCAGACCAAGAACAGGGAAGAGCTTCTTCAGAAGCCCAAAGAGCTTGCATTCATGACCGAGCTGATTGGTGGATACGCCTTGAAAAACAAGCTCTGGGGTGAGATCACTGATGCCTGATGTCCTGTGCTTGTGCTAATAATTTATAGTTTATTTCTATGTCGAGGATCTTGAGCCGATTGTCTGGAACGATCAAGCGTACTCCCACCTCGTCTTTGACGAACAGCAAAAGGATTTAGTGCTGTCGTTCGTTGAGAATCACAGCCTTGCCAACGGCGCCAAAACGGCTATGGAAGATGTAATTGTCGGCAAGGGCCAAGGTCTCATCATGCTTCTGTCTGGTCCTCCTGGAACAGGAAAGACCCTCATGGCCGAAGCGATTGCGGATCGCACCCATCGTCCTCTCTTCTACTTGCAGGCTGAGGATCTGGGTATTAATGCTGCCGCTCTGGGTGCAAACATCAAGCGAGTGTTTGAGATGGCTACGGAGTGGAACGCTGTCATCCTGCTTGACGAAGCGGACGTCTTCATGGCAGAGCGTAACCCCAATGACATTCATCGCAATGAACTTGTCAGCATCTTTCTTCGCGAGCTCGAGTACTATCGCGGCATCATCTTCCTCACCACCAACCTGTACCATACCATTGATACTGCGTTCCGCAGCCGAGTCAGCTTGCATCTCCTCTTCAAGTCTCTCACCCGTGAGGCTCGCGAGACCGTTTGGCGCAAGTTCCTCCAACGTCTGCCTGACAGTAACCGCATCACAGATGTCACGGACGAATCTCCTGCCACGGGTTCCACCACGCCTAGGAACGACGGCACAGACGAAGATGCTGGAGGAGAGATCACCGCAACCTATGAAGACAAGCCGCTCGATGACGAGGACATTGCAGAATTGTCACTCTGGCAACTCAATGGACGAGAGATCAAGACAGCTGTCAAGATGGTGCGCAGCTGGTGCGATCACAAGGGGTATATCATGACGCTGTCGCGGTTGGAGAATGGTATCAAGGTAACGAGCCCGCATTCGAACAAGGATGGCGATGTCGATAAGGATCTTTACGAGTGATTTGGTGTTTTCTCTCTTTTGTTTTCAAGATACCAGTCTGTTTGTTGGTGGTTCTATTTTGTTGTGATGTGATGCTTTATTACCTTATAAGTCAATGAAAATATTGCGATGCTTTAGCACTTTGATCCCAGATGAACCAGAAGCATATATGTGAACTTGTTGCTATTCCATGTACTCCATACCAGTGCTTTCCGTAATACCTTTCCTAACCCATGTCTGATCATTCCAAATACCATAATTTACAATAAACCTCAAAAACCAGATGTCCACACTACCATCCTTTATCGCCGAAACAAAAGTTTTGCATGTGTATGTTAGACATTAATTCAGCCCCTTGATCGCAGTCCTCTTCGGACACCAGTTTGTGCTGCCCTGCCCGTCTTGGTCACGCCTGTAGGAGCAGAACCCTTGACCTTGGTGGCAGTGGCTTTGGCTGCTCCTCGCCCTCGCTTTGCGGCGGGAGCTTCAGCAGCCTTTGAGCTTGGAAGCTCGCCCTTTCCAGCCTTTCCCTTTGCGGGCCGTCCACGAGCCTTGGGCTTCTCTGGTTCAGCCTCAGTCTCGGCCTCGACAGCAGGTTCCGGGGCCTTCTTCGCGGCAGCTCGACCACGAGGCTTGGCAGTAGGCTTTGGTTCTTCAGGTTCGGCGGCCTTGGAGCGAGTAGACTTGCCACGCTTGGGTGTGGGCTCTTCCACAACTTCCTTGGCAGCCTTTGCAGGCCGTTCTGTCTTTCGGCCTGTAGATTTGCTTGGTTCCTCAACAACTGGCTCCTCGGCTTTGCGTGTTGTACGGCGCTTCTTGGTCGCAGGTTCGGGTGCTTCAACTTCAGGCTCAGGCTCGGGTGCTGTGCGTTTAGAACGGCCACGCTTTGTGGTGGCGGTCTCAGCAAGGACAACTTCAGCGGCCTTGGCTGAAGCAGCTGCGCGTCCTCGCTTCCTGGGGGCCAACTCGGGTCCAGATGCAGCATTCTCGGCCAACTTAGTAGCTGTCTTGGCAGCTCCACGCTTCTTTGTAGGTGCAGGCTCAGCTACGGCCTTTTCGACAGCCTTTGAGGCAGCTGCCCTTCCACGTCGTTTGGGAGCCGGTGCTGGTTTTTCCTCTGGGGCAGACTTAGCAACACGGCCACGTCTCTTGGGCGCCGGCTCTTCAGCCACGGTGTCCTCGACAGCTGCAGCGCGACCTCGCTTTCGCGTCTTGGGCTCTGGAGCAGACTCATCAGCTGCTGGCGCCTCAGCCTTAGTAGCAGGGCGACCACGTTTCTTGGGAGCTTCGGCGGGCGCTTCTTCTTTGGGCGCAGCTGCAGTTCGGCGACCACGTTTTGTGGCAGGTTCTGCTTTCTCAGCTGGAGGGAGAGCAGCAGCAAGCTTTCTTGTAGCTCGGCCTCGCTTGGCTGGAGAGGGAACTGTGCGTGGCTTGACTGTGCGTGTGCTTTTCTTTGTGGCAGGAGCATCATCAGTCGAATCGGCACCTCGCTTTGCCCGATCAGCACGCTTGGGTGCTTCCACTTCTGGCTCGACTTCTTCTTCCTCTTCTGTTGGTTGAGGAGGGTTCTTCGGTGGTCTGCCACGTGGCTTTGGTGTTGTCGTAGGAGTCGCTGCGGCACGGAGTCCAATTGCTGTCTTAGGTGTCCGGGCTGTCGTAGCTCTTCGAGGTGTCGTTACAGCCTTGCTAGCGCTGGCAACGCGGCGGCCTCTAGCAGACAAGGGCTTGGATGCGCTAGGAACAGTGATTGGAGTGGCATCCGACTTTCTGGGTCGGCCTCTCTTTGCGGTGCTTGGGGGCGCGGCTGGAGTGGCGACAGCATTGCTCTTTCGTGGGCGTCCTCGCTTTTGGGGGGTCTGATCCGCGAGAACACTTGCAGGCATGGACTTGCGGGTTCGTTTCTGGGCTGACGAAGGAGCGTTCTTAACCACGGGTGATGCTGGCGCAGAAGCAATGCTTCGGCGGCCACGAGTCGGCTTTGTAGCAGACCCCGAAGCCTCTTCCACAACCCCTTGTGTGCTTCGTCGGCTCCGCTTTGCAGATGCTGGCGCAGGCTCTTCAGCTGGCGGCGGTCCGTCCTCAGGCGCAGGAGCTTGGGAATTGAATGTTGCCTTTTCAGGCTCTGACATTGATTTCAGTTCAACGACTAGGGAGGGAGTGAAACCAGCTCTTTCGGTCTGTTGTTCTAATTGGGTCGAGGTAGCTCTTCGATTCTGAGAGTCATCTGGTTGAGGTGTCGCCACGACTGCAGGAGGTGGCACTGACATGCGCTTCATGATACCTCTGCCAACCGAAAGCAACGCGCTCTTAAGCGAACTAGGTCCTGTGGCAGGGGCTGAGGCGATCTCTGGTGATTGGGGTTGATCTTGTCCTGGGGTTTGTTGGCCATCAGTGGCCTTGTTGTCGTCGGCGGCTTGCTCGATGGGTGTCTGAGTGGGTGTTTCCTCAATGCGATCGGCTTCACCATTTGCGGCAACATTGTCAAGTTCTTGCTGAGAAAGTAATTCTTCGGGCTCCTTTTCTGAGGACTGGACAATGGTCTCGGTATACTCATGAATCTCAACGCGTGACTCCTCTACAACTGGCTCAGGATCAACGCCTGCTCCTGCGGCCCCGTCTTCGGTGGGATTTGACTGAATGATCGAGTTCTCTTGCGTGCGTGCAGCAGATTCTTGCAGCGGCGAGAATGGGGCGCGTTCGGGGGAAGTAATATGAAGCGTATCGGTAGGTTCCTCAACGGTAGCGGATTCTTGTGGCGTATCATCTTCGGGAGATTTAGAATAACGCGAAGGCTGCTCAGGAAGAGCAGAGACATCGGGGGACTCGAGGCCGTCGCTGTTGAAGGTTGTATCGCGCTGCCAGGGCCAGCTAGGAGGAGGACCAGGGCTTAAAGCAGTCGAGGGTGCACCTTCAGGAGCCGGGTTTCGGGGCATGAAAAGGGGGTTGAATAAAGGAGAAGCCTCTGGGCGATATGATTCGGCGAAAGAAGCATCATCAGCCTCGGGCATGGTGTTGGGCACACCAGGCGACGAAGAAGCGACAGCGACGCGCTGAGCAAACCCAAGCCAATTTGAGGATCCGGAGCCAGAGCCGGAGGGGGGGTCCTGGCCAAAGTTGTAATCCATTGCTAAAGGCGAAGCTGTAGATGGGTCATTGATAAGAGATTGAATTGTCAAGAAGAGAAAGAAAATTGAGGTTGAATTTTGTTTTGTTGTTTACTCGATTCGCATGATGATGTATGACCCAAGCCAAAGCTCGTGTTGCGACGCGCTTCGTGAGCGCGATTAGAGTGCTTCTCCACTTTTCGATGAGGGATGACATAATGTGTCTTCCCTGTCTGTTCGCGCGAGCATTTACAGTTGATCTGATCTTGGCGCTTGGCATTTGAGCTTGGCGTTGACATCCAATCTTTAATCTTGCCTGATCATCTCAACCTCAATTCGAATGTTGATGTTTCAGTATTAAGATTTGTTTTCGAGGTTCAAGACATGGATGACAGAAGCAGCATGACTCAGGCACGGATATTACCCAGCCTCGTATTCATGTCCACGCCCTGTGCAACTTCACGTTGCACTCCATTGGGACAGTTACTCAATAGCGATCCCCAATGTGTTGATGCATGGAGCTGAAAGAAAATACGATGCGTTCAATTAAACAACAGCGCTAGAGACACCTCCCTACAACTGTATCCGCTATAAAGTTATCTCTTTACCCCCGAAGGTTTAGGCATGTGATGCAGACCCAGCTAATCTTGCACTGCCACCGCCTAAAGCCCAATCAGGGAGTCATCAAACAAAGTACGGAGTACCCAGCTGCTCTCAATGAAACGGCCTGCAAGTGACGTTATATCAGCCAAATCAGGTATCGCGAGGCCTCCTCTACTGTACATATGTATGGTACACTCAGGGTCCCTTACCGCTATTCCCCTGCGGTTCTTATCGGCCGTGCTCGATGACTACCGGATACTACCCTGGGCAGAGAGGTTCTTCCTTAACAATACCGTGACAATGTCCCGTCTATTGTCAGCAAATTGTGGTGGCCACTTACAGCCACTGCGTTAGCCCACCGGGTCCTATTGTCAATGCACCACTTCCGCTATTGCAGATGCCTTCATAGCTGGCATCCCGGCTCCTCGGCTTGGCAATAATTCGCTCAAACACTGCCTGCTCGCACTCTCTTCTTGCTCAAACGAGTTGGTCTGCAACCTGCTCACTTACTTTCCTCGGAAAACGGCACAGAACATCTAGACTTTACGCCCGTTCGAGTTGCAAACGGCCCTGAAACACCTTCTCACTAGGGCATCGTCTTCGGCGTTTTAACGCCAAACAGACGAACATGTGGCGCCCAAATCTCAATTTTGTCAAAATACACTGTGAGTGCCGTTCTACTGAGAAGGTGCTGATAGGATGCGGCTGACAACGCTACTCGGCGGCACGTAGACATCTACATCATCTGCATGGGTCTGTCGAGCTTCTTGTTCATCTATCCGGAAGGCAAGCTGAGTGCAATCGATGCCTATTTCTTTGGCGTTAGCGCCTCGACCGTTACCGGTTTAACTACGTGAGCCACTTTCTACAACACTTGTGGGCTTCAACGGTGCTAACCGTTTCCATTACAGAGTCGATGTTCCTGTACTGAAGACGTACCAGCAGCTGTTTCTGTACTTCGTTCCCCTGGTTTGCAACATTGTGACAATCAATATCATTGTTGTAATTGTGCGCCTTATCTGGTTCCGAAGATACCTCAAGAATGCTGGTCAGTTCGTTCTCGCCTGTACTTGGCGGCCATTACTGACATTTCGCCATATAGCTCCTGCTCTACTCAGCAGACGCAGACCAGTGGACCTGGATCCTAAGGAGGACCCGGAAAATGCAGCTGACAATCCTCTTTCGGAAGTACTTGATAAAAGACCGGGACTTGCACGATCTGTCACAGAACGCGTTCATAAGAATGTCGCGGAGCAGGATGCACTGCCGCCGATCGAGGCTCGGAGTCGGACTGATCCAGCTCCTGATCATCCACCCCAACGGCCTGTAGACATTCTTTCACCTACAATTAAGGAAGAGAAGGTGAAAGAGGGAGACCAGCACGAAACAAGAATCACTTTCGATCCTTCGACCGATCACCATCCTCGCCATGAGCAGCAGGAGTCAACTCTATATATCCCCGGCCCTCGCGCTCGAGACCAAGGTACGCCCACGACTCACTCCTTTTCTCGTACCAACTGACATATTCAGGCCTTCCTTTTGTCGAGCTAAATACTGAACGACGGTTCAGCCGAGATACTCGAGATGGTACGACCCCTGTCTGTTACTGCATGTATTGCATGTGATGTGAGCTAAGCCCTCCTTCTAGAAGATGTCATCGAACCTATCTCGCGAACTCAGTCCACCCCTGTTGGTACCCTTCGCCGTAGACGCAGCGCTGGCCTTAGTCTGGCTCAAGTCCGCTCTGTCGAGCGTGTCGCTACCGTAGCTTCGTCGCTCTTTGTTATTGGCAACCCTGCTCAAGCGCCTAAGGAGCGTCCGCTGGCCAGGGCACCAACACTTGCCGTGGGTGACTTTCCCCGTTTATCTCGAGAGGTTACCATAGGGCGTAACTCCATCTTTCACAACTTGTCGTCTAAGGACCGGGAGGAACTGGGTGGCATCGAGTACAAAAGCCTGAAGCTCCTACTCAAGATAATTATTGGTAAGTCTTCGGGCGATTGGCCAGGGACAGCCTGCTAATATCTACAGGCTACTATGTTTTTCTTCACTGCCTCGGGGCTGTCTGCCTGATAGCATGGGTTCAGCATGCTCCCAACAAATACGTTGAGTACATTGACAAGTGCGGGCAAAATCGAATTTGGTGGTGAGTTTCCTCCTGGGTTATGGCTTCTGTCCTTCTTACCTTTAATCTAGGGCAGTCTACTCTGCTCAAACCATGATCACCAACTTGGGTTTTACCTTGACTCCTGACTCAATGATATCTTTCAATGACGCTCCAGCTCCCCTGCTCATCATGAGCGCCCTCGCCCTGGCTGGCCACACCTTCTATCCTGTCCTCCTCCGGCTAGTTATTTGGGCTATCTCGAAGGCCGTCTCGAAGCAGTCCTCCCTTCAAGAGCCGTTGCACTTTCTTCTCAATCACCCACGGCGATGTTATACTCTACTTTTCCCCAGCGGGCCAACCTGGGCGCTTTTTGGCATTCTTGCCCTCCTTAATCTCGTTGATGTTCTATTCATCATACTCCTTGACCTAGACAACTCGACTGTGACGGTACTTCCTGGGTGGCAGAGGTTCTGCGCCGCCGTGTTTCAGGCTGTTAGTTCTCGACACACTGGTACAGCCAGTTTTAACCTTGCCAATGTTAACCCGGCTGTGCAAATGGCTTTGCTCATCATGATGTACATCTCCGTATACCCAATCTCAATCGTCGTTCGATCTTCAAACACCTATGAGGAGCGCTCTTTGGGCATTTACGAGCATAGTCTACAATATGATGAGGAAGATGGCGGCTCATATTTTGTAACCCATCTCCGGAACCAGCTGAGTTTCGATTTGTGGTATATCTGTCTTGGGCTTTTGTGTATCTCTATTGCTGAGCACAAGAAGATCATGGACGGCAATGATCCGGTGAGTATGGCTCCACAAGGCATTGGATACCACACTCACCATAATAGGCATTTACAATGTGGCCGATGTTGTTTGAGGGCGTTTCAGCATAGTAAGGATGACACCCTTCATCATCAGCAGAGCTAACCGTGACCTAGCTGTAATGTCGGCTTGAGTTTAGGATATCCTACCATCAATTCGTCTTTTTGCACCGAGTTTACGACATTTAGTAAACTCATCATCTGCGCCATGATGATTCGTGGACGCCATCGTGGACTTCCCTATGCCTTGGACCGAGCTATTGTCTTGCCAACAGAGAAGTCATTGGGCGCTGAGACTATCACCCAGCCTCACGAGTCGCATGAATCTCACGAGCATCGTGAGTAATTTGGACAACACAGAGTTTCTTCTTGATCATACACGACACTGGTTGGATGAGACCACGGCCTTATTTATTTTACTTTTTTATTGTTCGTTTTGTCTTTCGTCGATAGCATAGCGAGGTCAGAGTTACGCTTAGAGGCGTTCGGTGGATAGACTGGGAGATCCGCAAGACTTTGAACGGAGCATTAGATGCATCGTCGCCGTCCTGAGCCATGGCTCAAGAACTCTTTTTCTACAACAGAGTAGAGGTTTTGACTCCAGCTTTTCTATTATAGACAGGCTCGGCGCTCTGGATCATCAACATTTCGGAATACAAGACAGCATAGGAAGACATGCCAGAGTCTTCGAATAGAGTGTTTCTTCTACCTTTTCCCACTGGGCGTGTGTTTTGTGACTCTTTGGTCGACATAGCAGTGGGTCTCGAAATAACTCAGCCAATTCTCTACCGAGTTGCGGTCCTTCATGGACAGAGTGCAAAGTTTGATCCAATTTGCCCTTCCGTTGTTGAACATTAATATCTTTAGAACTTTGTTGTGGAACCTTTTCCCCCAAGGCACAAAACTTTTAACCTTCAGGCTCCAAGTGAGTATAAAACCTCGTGCATCTTTCTTCATTCCGAGCAGTCATTTCTCAACACATAAATCCCTTTCACGATTACTCTCGAAACCCGAACTCATCTACACCCCGTCCCATCCCTTGCAACGGATTTCGGCCACTCCACTGTCGAACCTCTCTAATCTTCTTATAAACTAATACACAATCAATCATGGGTCTCTGCTTTTGTCCCTTCGGTGGGCTTGTTAGCTGCGTAAAGACATTCCTTGGCGTCTCATCCGCCGTGTATGTCTTAACCCCCTGACTTGGTATGATTCCACAAGCTAACAATATTTTGCAGGTCATGCTGCGTTTTCACATTAGGCAGTGGGCTTCATATGGCCTTCAATGACGAGGCAGAGGATTCGGAGCTCTGGGATGAGAAGTCTAATCGAAGAATACTTTGGTCATATGATGATGAGCCTTCGGTTTGAACCATGCACCGTGTATTTCTCCCGGCAGCCTTTGGTTCATAGCCTCCGGTGCTGGCGTTTTCTACTGTACTCGATTGCATTTTCGACATTTCGTATTCTTTTAAGTCTGTTCTTGAAAGGAGTTGTACAAGTTCAAGGAGTTCAGTGGTTGGAGAAGTTGGGGGGCGAAGTCTATTCGCCCGGTCATGCATGCGTTTCGGATCAAGCTTTGGAAAAGCCTGTATGCAAGAATGAGCTTGCGACTCAAGCGCTGCAATGAATGACTTTCAGGTTCTTCATGAAAGGCTACCATTTAATTAACTTTACTTGTATGGGAAAGACTGGCTCGAGATTCCTCATATGCTACGTTGGTAATGGCTATCACACTTCTACACAAATCACACATGAGCCCTCACTGGTGCAACGGGACTTGATGAAATCTTCAATTTCGACCTCTAGCAAGCATGGAGCTTCGGCGCGGGATGAACCAAGTATGCCAGACCTTTAGTCTACACTCTTTAACAAAGGGCCCTGGCACATATTTGTGCTCCCGACTGAAAGCAGAGCCGTAATGTCTGTCGATCGTCGCCTAGTACCTTCAGCGAGCCTACAATAAAGGGAAGGGAAGTTTATTCACTGGAATACAGGGAGACAAATAGACGAAGCATTGGTCGGCTTGTAGTGAGTGAAGCATGTTTCACAGCTGAAGATGAAAGACGTCCTTCGCCCCTGGGTTTCTTCTACCTGATTCCCGGTTCAAGCTTCGTGACATGACCTACAACGGCGAAATCAAGGCTCCAGCTCGCCCATTTCCAGATCTGATTCCTCCTTGACACGAAAATGGAAGTAGCTTGGCACCAACCATACCTACTACCAGATGTCATTGGTATTGGCATGATATCGAATTATAACGGAAAGGGGATTCGTTATAAGCACATTTCATAAAGCATGTGCCAACCAAATCCTCACATTTGTACGAAATCTCATTAAGAAAGTCCCGAATCCCTTTCTTTCGCTTTCGGCCATTCCGTATCATTGTCATCTATCTTGGTCTGCGTAGTCCACTTTTGTAAAATGTCTGATGCTTTCAAATACTTCAAATCTCAGGGGCTTCTCTTCAAGGGCCGCGGTCGCAACTCCCCAGTGGGTTCTAGGCATTAAAGGAAGCAGAGTGTTCAACTCCTTCCGAACTCATCGTCGCGACTGACTTAACTCGTCATTGACCCCTTCCATCATTGTCATCCTGGGAGTCAAACGACTTCAAGCCAGACACCTTGGTAAACAACTTGGACCTTTACACACAACTCTCAATCCATTCTATCATTTACAACCCGCCCATTTCCATCGCCGTGTCAACGTTATTCAGTATACCACCCTCTCAGCATCACATCATCACCCTCCCTATTCAATATGAAGCTCATAAACATTATTCCCATGCACCTGTTCCTGCAAAGCACACACGCTACATTTCTGCCCAAAGATGACCTTCCTAACATTCCCAAAGACGTTCACGTTTTCTTTCCCGAGGATCGCATCAACTGGACCCGGTGCAATTTGGGCATTGATGAATACAAGAAATATCAAAAAGCTTTCGAGTGCGGTAATCTAACTGTTCCTCTCGACTATACCGACAAATCCAGCAAAAACACTACGACATTGAATTTAATCAAGCTCAGAGCCACCAAAACCCCGTTCAAAGGCAGCATCATCGTGAATCCTGGTGGTCCCGGTGCTTCTGCACTCGACGCCGTTTTGACGCAAGGACAAGACATGGCAAACATCACTGGCGGATTCTACCATATAATTGGTTTTGATCCACGGTAGGTGACATATCAGCTATGACAGGTTCAGTAGAGTCAAATCTAACCTAGAATTAGTGGTACTGGCAAGACGATGGTTCCGCTTGGTGATGAAGGATTTCCGAGGCAAATGATCAAAGAGCTCTTCTACACCTTTCAAAATTCGTCATATTTCATCACTCAACAATTACTCAGCGATGCTTTGGATTATACACGCACTATTACGGAATCCTTTGTCACGAAAGACGCGGATCTTAGGAAGTTCCGTGGCACTTCATTCGTCGCCAGGGACATAGCGGAAATTGCCATGGCATTGGGTGAAGGTAACAGCATCAACTACTGGGGTACGTCGTACGGCACGGTCCTAGGCCAGGTTCTGGCTAGTATGTTTCCTGACCGTATTGAACGCATGCTTCTCGATAGCAATCTGCTCGCCGACGACTATGTCAATAACCTCGCGCTCAACAGTACCAAGGATGCCGAGAAGGCCTTGTATCATTTCTACGACGAGTGCATGGCAGCCAAAAATGATTCATGTCTCTCAGCTAACAAGCTTCCCAAGGGACCAGATGACTTCCTCAAGGTCCTCAATCATGTCTTCATGGTCTGCACAGGAGTTGGGGGTGGTTTACACAGCACTAAATCACTCTGGCTGACTGGCTCGATTTTACTCGCTCTCTACGAAGTTAAAGGATACCTTTGGCTGGATGAGCTGATTGATACAGCTTTGGAGGGCAATCGTTCGATGTGCTCCCAGGAAATTGGTGACTGGGCATCTCCATGGAACCCTCAATCCGATCTTGCCCATCTAGCGATCTGGTGCAGTGACGCAAACGTTCGTGCTGAAACTATTGAGGAAATTAACTCTTTGTACGAAAGCGGTCAGGCTAATAATAACCCTTTCTTCACCCCGACCCTGCTTCAACGCTCGGCGTGTTTTCAATGGAACACACACGCAGCTGAGCCGATAAATCTTACAAGCCTTGAAAGAGTCGAAACAAAGAACCCAATCCTTCTCGTCAACGGTAAATACGATCCGGTGACTCCTTTGAATCATGCCCGGAAGATATCTGCCCGGTTTCCTGGAAGCCGGGTTGTTGTTCACGAAGGTGTTGGTGTAAGTACAATACCATGTCTTGAACTAATGGTGATACTAACATAAATTCATAGCATTGCTTCCGCGCCCATCCTTCCAGTTGCACTCGAGAAATTGTAGCCAGATATTTCATCGATGGAAAGTTGCCCCCAGCAGAGGCCACCTGCAAGCCGGACGTTGATGCCTTTGAGATTGTTGAGATTATACGTGAGGAAAGGGCAAAGGACGCCGGAAATCATAAGATTCCGGTTTTCCTGTGGGTAGTGCTCGGTTTCTTGGGTTTTATCTGCGTGTGTTTGTTTGTTTGTTTGTATCGTTCGAAATGAAACAAAGCTCCTGGGCTGATATAAATTAGTAGAATAGTATTAAAAGTATATGACTATTCCTTCTTACAAGATTACCTATTGGATGTTTCTGCGAAAAGAAAAGCTGACTGGTTGCTGCTCGCAGCTCAACGCAGATGTTTTTTGATGATCTATAACTTGGGATACCGGTGCTGACAAGAAGCGATTGAGAGCCTAAATTAATGCTTATTTCTACATTGTCTCCGCTGCGTTGCCTTAGCCTACCAGCCATGAACAAGCCTAAATAGCTATCAGCTGTCCTTGTTAATGCTCCTCCAATATGAAGTTGAGGATCAGATCTCAGCCATTGTAGGGTAGGCAGGAGTAGCTCTAACTTAGCGTAGTTGATAGATCAGCATCGCCAGATTCTAGAAGGATTAAACTTTGCAAAAATTCCCATTAAATGGAGTCCCAACCCACTCCTTCAACCGCGCCATAGATCAAAAGAGCAATCACATCCGCAACCATGAAGAATATTGCCGGTATCCGTATCTGACTGCCCGAAGCCCCCCGGTCAATCTCAGATTGCACCATTGGCTCAGGTGATGGCGTCGATAAGACATTTCTCGCCTCGCAAGGGGAGGCAAGAAAACTTAGGGACCTTTAGACTGAGTGACAAAAAGATTTTAGGTAAATTTAGGATAACCAGTATAGATTTAGTAGACCTTAGATGAATATTTTTGGCACCTTGGTCTAATGTTAGAAGTTTTCTTGCCTCCCCTAGTCTCATAAAAAGAAGGCTTCTCTTCGCCAAGACCACGATCAACCCTTATCAAACATTCTCATCACCAGATTGGGAGGCGTCAAGATGAGCGCCGACATTCTTGCTGGCGGAAAGGCGAACCCGTCAATGGGCGTGGAGACGAGGAACGACAACAACGGCGATCTTGTAACGGCCACCGAGGAGCAGAGCCTTCAGCGCGGTCTGCATGAGAGGCATCTTTCTATGTTGGGTATCGCTGGCGCTATTGGCACGGGTCTCTTTCTCGGTCTAGGTCAGTCTGTTCAGACTGGTGGTCCTCTCGGCGCGTTGCTTGGATATGCGACTGTTGGTCTTGTCGTGTGCGCCGTGCAATTCGCATTGGGAGAAGTCGCTGCGTTATTGCCGGTCACAGGAGCTTTTGTGCGGCATGCCGAATTTCTCGTCGATCCCGCCTGGGGGTTCGCAATTGGATGGAATCTGGTTTACGGCAACATTCTGTCGATCCCTTCAGAGATCACGGCCATCTGTGTGTTGTTCGAGTTCTGGACCGACATCAACCCGTCGCTATGGATCATGATCTTCATCGTCCTGACCACAGTCGTCGGTCTCTGCTTCGTCCGGGTTTTCGGCGAGGTTGAGTTCTGGTTCGCCCTTCTCAAAATCCTCTTGGTCGTATTCCTCATTATCCTAGGGTTGGTCATCAACTTAGGAGGCGTCCCTGGCACGGAGCGAATTGGCTTCAGATATTGGAAGGACCCAGGGCCGTTTGTCGAATATATCGCTACGGGAAGTTGGGGCCAGTTCCTTGGATATTGGTCTGTCATGACCAGCGCTGTGTTCTCCTTCGCGGGTGTGGAATCTATCGCCATGGCCGCTGCCGAAACGCGGAACCCTGCGCGTGCTATCCCTAAGGCTTGCAAGAACGTCTTCATCCGAATTCTCGTCTTTTACATCTTGGCCATCCTCATTGTTGGTATGCTTGTGAGAAGCGACGACGAGAGACTAAACGACCAGTCCGGAGCCGCAGGGCAAAGCCCCTTTGTCATCGCAGCCTCGGCGGCCGGTATCCCAGCGATCCCCTCCGTTGTCAACGCCGTTGTCATAACTTCCGCGTGGTCGGCTTCCAATCAGAGTCTTCTCGCCGGTACCCGTGTTCTCTATGGTCTGGCCCTCAAGCGACAGGCGCCTCAGATCTTCCTCCGCACAACCGCGTGGGGTGTGCCTTACGTCTGCGTGCTCTTCTTCACTTGCTTCATGTTCCTCAGCTTCATGAGTCTCTCAAATGGAGCTATGACCGTGTTCTGGTGGCTAGTCGACCTGACAGCGGCGGGAGTGCTGATCTCCTGGGCGTCAATCTTGTTGAATCACATCCGTCTGCGCCTTGCGATGAAAAAGCAAGGAATTCCGGTCGAAAGCCTGCCCTGGCACAACTCTTGGACTTGTAAGTGGGAGCCTAAAGTTATAAAAGTTTAGCTAACATCAGAGTAGTCTACTCTTCTTGCGCCGGTTTGTTCATGACTCTGCTTATCCTCCTCACGGGCGGTTTCCGCGTCTTTACCAGGGGTAACTGGGATCCCGTTGGCTTTGTATCATCCTACTTGTAAGTTCTTCCGATGCCAGAGAGCAGTTCACACGCTAATGGTATCACAGGGATATCCCTCTTGTTACCGCAGCGTACTTGATTTGGAAGTTTGTCAAGAAGACCAAGGTCGTGCCGTTAGCAGAGATACCCCTTCAGGATGCTTTCAGAAAGTCGGAGGAGGACCACGAAGTGGTGACCGCTTAGGCATAGGGGCCCCAGGGAGCAAGAAAACTTCTGGCGTTAAACCAAGGTGCCAGAAGTACCTAATGTAGGATTTACTAAATCTATACTTAATTATACTAACTTTACCTATGTCTTTTTGGCACTTAGGATAAAGTCCCAACACATAGGATAGAAGTCCTAAGTTTTCTTACCTCCCCTTGAGGGGGTAATACTAGCGTATCATCTTGTATTAGCAAGCGTTGGAGATAGTAATGGGTATATAAACGTCATTCGATGATGCTCTTGAAGTTCGGGAGCGTGGCTCCCAACATCCTAACCAGCTGGCACCAGTTCGATCTGCCTCGACACCCAAGGTGCGCTTACCTTCAATTCTCCATCAATGTTTGTGTTTACATTTTATTGTCGCATGAATCTTGAGAACGCCGCTGCTGACTCCAGCACTGTGGCCGTGGAGATGAGTTCGTGTCAAGTGTACTGTCTGTGAAAAGGGGGCCCAGGTAGCACTGGAGATACTTTCCTGTTGAACTATACCCGAGAATAGTCTAAAAAAGAAGTTACAGATATCCAAGCTGGTCTCTGTTGCTGTTTAAAATGTCTTTCCTTGCTAAACCGCTGGTATTAGTCACGGTGGCCGTCCTTGCCTCGAGCTCTTCATAGAGTTGCAGCCAGGAGGCTCTTCTCGATCATGACTTGGATCTCACTTCTCTAATAAAATTAGATTAACATTCTTATCTAACATAAATCCTTAAGCCATGTACCAAAGTCTGTGAGCATTATGGGGGATTGCTTGTGCGTGATGCTCAAGTTGCAATCCTCCTCCCCTGACGCTTTTATGACACTCGTTGATATCAACACGTTCAAGGACCAAAAGGCCAGTAATACATGAATTCATTATGTTTCAAGAAGCATAGTCTTATTTGAGACTCTTTTCTTGTTTATTGAGTTGCTAAGAACGATTGTGTACACTCCTGATCAAAGTGTCTCGGACCCTCATGGGCGTATAACACTCTGACATTGTTTCGGGAGAGAATTAAAACCTACATGATAACCTTAGTTTCTATCTTCTCGAGTACTAGAACCTTCGAATTGATCTGTATTCTGGGTGCACCTTGCAGGCCAACTCTTATCGAGGAGTTACGTGGTGGTCGCCTCATTCAGGGGAACAGCTCAGCATACACGATGGAGGGTTCTCCAGCAACAAAACTTCTGACCTTACACCTAAGTACCAATAATAACTAGTCTAAAGCTATAATAAATTCTAGACTAAATTCACCTAATTCTTTCTGTTACCTAGGATAGCCATCCTCAGTTGTCTTGCCTCCCCTCAAAGGAAGATAGGAAGATACAGGATCTCAATTCTCCAAAAGACCTTTCAAACTACATACAATTGAGATTTGGCGTACATGGCAATGATTGAGGCTATGCAAGTCTTGGGTTTATGTCGTACCACGGCTTCTTCCATGAGCTGAATGTCTGGGAATAGCCTCACACCTCCCCAACGCCTCAGTGTATACTCCTTCAGGAAGCCAAGATTCACTCGGCCAAATGGACGAACATAGACTCGACGGAACGTATGATCTATTCGGTGTGTCCGTCAAGACAAAGCAACCGGCATTTCCCAGCTCGTGCTGTCGGAACGCTCGAAGAATGTCACTCGGAAGCATACTTCCCTCCCAACCGCAGATGTCTTTCATCAACCTCCGTTACACTGTTCTCTCCACGATATTCTTAGAACGGGCTGATTTCTAATGGTACCGACCTCCAGTTGCACTTACAATTCCCTAGCTATTCCCGCGCCCTGGGGGCTTAACTCAACCGCCACTGACAAACATGCCCTCCCCCGCAACCACTCCAATGGCAAAACACCAAATTAAGGGGATATTCTAACTTCGTTTCACTTCTCACGAGAGTTCAGTGGCTCACATCGAAACCCTCCAGCCGCTGTCTCTTCAATGCAGAAGGGTTACAACGCGCATAACCAACACGAACCGTCGAACTCTACCAAGAATATCGCGTGAAACACGGCTGACATGGTCCGGACGCCCATGTAACAATGACATGATACAGCTCACATGTACAACCTTCAGCCACAGGCTTTGTTGTGTTTTTTTTTTTTTTCAGCTTTTGCAAATCCCCAGCATAGCCTCATAGAAGTTAAGTTAGTAATTAGAGGGCTATGACGATCAATGGCTTGACTCGCGGGCTATGGGGAAACGTGACACGTTCCCCTCTCGCCTTGGAAACTATCGAGCGATGATAGAGTTTCGGTCCGTAAGCCCAGGTTCACTACACTGTTTCTGGTCTGACAACATCTGTGCGATGTGGCCGAGAACAAGATCCGCAGGCGGGTTGGCTTACATGCCATGAGTCGTACAGCGTGGATGAGGAAATTATGATGATCGTGGGTTGGGCTGGGCTGGGCTGGGCTGCGGCTGCGGCTAAGGCTTAATGTCATCCTGCAGGCCAAGGGAGGCTTTGGGTTTGACGGGAGAGAGGGCTGGATCGTGAAAGATGTAATGGTCGGCGCCATCCGGGGGAGAGATTGTGGCCGCAGGATCTACGATTACAGCTCGGACCGAGTTGAGGAGGAAAGTCAAAGTTGAGATTCCAGATGTTGGCGTCTACGAGGGACTACCTTGGTTGTGTGTCACTATAGTTGAGCATCTTGTTGCTGTGCACAGCCCATTATCATATCATGCAGTTGTGTTGGAGATATCGTGAGAGGTTGATATCATTCTCTCGCCAGGGGGTTGGCTCGGGTTGATTGACAATAGTGATAATTTAGCACACATCATCACCAACCAGCCAACTGTAGTGCTACTTAGTGGCAAGTAGACTTGGCATAGTTCAGCGCTTGGCGTGATACTTGAGTAACAGGTCCAGGTCAGCAGAGTTCATAGACTCGTGCAGGCCACGCTACAGGCGCATTCCAGTGAATGAATGGCTCTATCTCCCCGAACCCATCAGCCATCATCTCCGTGGAACCACGGGCCTCTTCTTAACTCTAGTTAGTGTTAGTGCTCGCTGTGCCGCACACCCACTCCCCGAACCATGATCGACAAGCAGCGCTGAAACCTGCTTCTTCCTCCCCCAAAACGAACCATCAAAAGGGCAAAAAGCCAAGCCAACCTTGAAACTTTCCCGCTTTACGTTACGAGATTTAATTAAACTTTCTGGGCATTTTAAGCGAAACCTCACTTCGTGGTGACATTTTAGCTACTTTAGTCTCTTCCTCTTTTCCCACCGGAAACAACCAAGGGAATGAGATGTGATCAACATGCGCATTTCTCAAAAGTCGCTATTTGAACTTTGACGTGCAGTTCAAGAGGAAATGCCACCGAGTGGTCCGTGATGTTTCTTTCTCTTCTGTTTGGGTGCCCAAGCTGGGCATTACTCTACTCGAAACAAGGGCCTGAGACATTTTTTGAGTGTCTTTTGAGGTTTTTTTTTTTTTTTTTTTTTTTTTTTTTTTTTAATTAGATAGCGGTGAGACTGAGGCCAAACAGACTATTGATTTCTTGTCTGTTATTAGTGACTGGGTTGAGATAATGCAGCAGAGTTCCATTTCCGTGCTTGTCTCACGTTGAGTGGTCGGCAGTTTAGTTTAAATGGCCTCTGCGGTGTAAAGTACTTTGTTATCACCAGGGTATCGCCTAATTCTGTGCACTTGTCAGTACTTGAATGTTATCAGTTGTCTCTCATATTTCCCTGAATAGCTTCACCACCACCACCATCACCAACTTCTTGTCTACAGTATGTGAGCAGTCAAAATACCACCATGTAAGATTGTCTTCACTTTCATCCTTCAGCCATCGCCCCAATAATCGTCTCCTCCTCACGCTACCCTCCTCAAGCCCGCCTCACCTTTTTACGTCTGCCCATCTAATTCGCTACGACCATCTCCACACATCCATTCCAAAACTCATGCCGTTCGCCCTAACTAAACTACCCCTGCTCATTGGGCGCCACGTTCTCGCCTTGTTTTTTCCCTTCTTTTCTTTTCTTTTTTTTCTCACTCTCGCAAGCGTTGCATCGCTAACGCCCGCCCCACAATGCACGAGTTCCAGGGATGATTAAGTTGCTTTTTTCTACTTCGGCTCGCATGCAGCTTGAGCGGGAGCACCGTAGTGTGATGCGGTAGACCGGGGCCTAAGGTATGTGACGCTATTCCGAAGCCTTTGTGAGACATCATCATGTTGCTGTGTTAGTCGAGACGGTCAAGTTCACTCACATTCGCATGGCACAGCAAAGTCGGGACAGTTTGTATGAGTGAGGTATCTTATTGTGTGTGATCTTTCATTCATAGGATGATCGGCAGATGCATCTCTTTTGTGCGAGGTGCCGTCTATCCCTCAGTAAACGTATGGTTGCGCAATATGCGCTGTGGCTATTGAGCCATGTCCCCTTCGCTCTAATCTTTGCTTGACCAAGAGTCAAGTCCATATGACTCTTGTCCCATGTCAACTTCTTTTCCTCCTCTTCTTGTAGAGTCCCCATCCGATCCGTCATGATAAAAATAGTAAAGAGGTATCTCTGATCCAGTTCAAGTGCAAGCCATGGCCATTCTTCTCGCTTCTATCACAAAAGACAGACGCCTTCCAGAAAGTAGTAGCATAACAAAAACGAGGAGTAAAGGAAGAACAGTCATTATCCTCTGGAATTCCTGGGCAAACAAACATAAGCTCTTCCTTGGGCTGGTAGAAAAGAACATAAACGAGGATCGGACAAGCAACAACTCCAATCTTTCCGAGTCTTCTTTTCTGTCTCTGCAGAAATGACAACAAAAAAAGTTCGCCTCCCATAAAAGTCTCGATGCGCCAAACATCATGCTTCTACAACTGATATCTTGCCCATCCTCATAATATTCGAAAAGACAAAACTCCTCGCTGTTTAAATAAGTGTTTTGTAGGTGAAATAAAGAAATTTTTGTGACAAAGAAAATAGAAACCGAAACAAGAAAATGTTGCTCCAAAAAGGGGAATACAAGGCCGAAAAGAAGCAATCCCAGACTGTCATTCAATGGGTCGTAAAAAAGTGTTCTTGGTAGGCATATCCTTGCACGGCTTTTGGTAGGTATTGGTTCCATGGAGGTAAGTGTGGCCAAGGGTCGATATTAAAGTCGAGTAATATCCAAGGTGGTATAGAAGAATCAAACAGTGTCCTAGGTCAGTGGGGTTTGTGGCCTCGGTGACATCTCATCCAGGTGAGGTCGTAGTAATAATAGTGGCCGTTATGTCGAAAGCGAGAGATCATGTCTCAAGCCTTAGTAACAGCCTTGAAACGTAGGCATGAAGGGGACCTGTTGATGAAAGGGCACATGGTGCTGAAGCATGGGCACTTGTTGAACGTATTTTACCATATCCCAGATAGGGAAATATGATTTGGGTTGACAAGGAGCTTGCACAGAGACAGGAACCTGAGCCTGTACTGGCATAGGGACCTGCTGGCAGAGCATGGGCTGAGGGGGAACGGCCACTGGCACGGGGACGGGCCCAGAGTACTTCTGGGGCACGAATTCCTGGCTGTGGTAGATGAGTTGATGTTCCTTGGGCTCCTCAGGGTCGAAGGTGTGTGGTGCAAACTCAGGAGGAGTCTGCGGCATCTGGCGTTCCTGTTCAAACTCGTCGTCCAGGTCGTCAATGGTAGAGTCGCTTGATGTGAGCGAACCCTCATCATCCGAGGAGGCAGGCGACAGTGAGTCGTACTCGTAGTCGTCGATGATGGCATCCTCGGAGGAAACGTATTCGGTGATGTGGTTTGGTGAGGCCGGAGGTGTCGGTAGAGACGACATAGGCGGCACGGTAAACATAGAGCAGGCCATGATCCTGGTTCGGAGCTCAGAGAGAGTGATCCGCTGCTCGGGGATAGGCTCGAAGATCCGTCCCAAAATGTCGTTCAGTTCATCCGACAATGGGAGGATGGTCTTCAAGAAGTCCTTGGATCCGGCATAGGCACGGTAAGTAGAGTCCTGGAAGGAAGCTTGTTTCCATGGGTTGCGTCCACAGGTGAGGTTGACGAGGATAACTCCAAGGCTCCAGACATCATTGGGGGCGCAAAGGTAGTAAGGCTTCCTAGCAGAGGGGTCCAGGCATTCTGAAAAGAGAGAAAGAAAATATGTTAGTTGTCTGTCTCATCCGCGATAACATCAAGATGCAAAAGGTGTGCTTTCAAGGGGAGAAGGGAGGGGGAATTGTATGTACCTGGACTCATGTAGAATGTTGAACCGCATCCGTAGTCCTCGGATCGATCATCAGAAGTAGCAAGACCAAAGTCAGCCAGCTTAACAGTGTCTCCGTGGTCTGTCACCAAGATGTTCTCCGGCTTGAGGTCCCGATGGTAGATTCCAAGGTTGTGGCAGTGTTCAACAGCATCCAGGATTTGCAGAAAGATATTCCTTGATAGTTCATCCTTACCAACATATTGACCGCGCTCAGTGATATTCAAGAAGAGATCGCCCTCAGGGCAGTACTCGAGAATAACATAGATGCAGTCAGGATCATTCACAATCTTGAGCATCTGGACCACGTTGGAGTGTTCCGATGCCTTCCAGTGAAGACGGATCTCTCGTTGTTGGTAGGCAAATTGTCTGGATTCCAAAGGGGTTCCATCGGGATTGAACTTGCTCAAGCACTTGACAGCGTATTTACCTCCGGTCTTGAGATCGACGGCAAGGTACACGACGCCATAGGCGCCAGTTCCAAGGATGTCAGTAAGCTGGAGAGTGCCCTCAAGCACGCGGCCTAGCCTGGCCTCCGGGGCGAGAGGGACGCATCGGTTCTGGAAGTGTCGAGAGTGAGGGACCGCAAATGGTTGTTGAACTGTGCACTTGGGATGATCGAATCCTGGAGAGGGCGGAGGGGTTTGGTAACCGAATATGGCATGTTGCTGCATGTTATCTGGTTGGTATCTCACGAAGTAATCCTAGAAACTGGGTTGTATTCTTGAGGTTGAAGTAGATCCTAGGGCCGGCAGAGAGATAATCCAAAACGGCACGGCATACAGCAGCAAGAAAAGTAAAGAGAAGAAAATACTGTGTATTTTCCTACGGCCTGTGATGGGATCCTGTTCCAAAGTCCAGTCCGGTCCAGTGTAGTCCAAACGGGTCGTTATTAAAAAGTTCCTTGGGGTGTGGTTGGTGGTTGAAGTAGCTTTGAGGTCCCGATGGCCGAATCAACGGGTCGAGAAGAGAGATGAGAAGAGTTTGTCGGCCTTCCAGGGGAGATATTGTCGAGTGGGAGGTTGAAGAGTTGTTGTTCGACAAGAGTAGACCAGAAGGTCACGTCTGCGAGAGAGTGAGAGAGAAGTTGCCGGAAGGAGTGTCGTGAAAGTGGTGATAGAGGTTCCTCAAACTAGATCCAGCCGAGTTTGGAGATGGGCAGAGACGATAGATAAGTCTCTAGCGAACAAGGACAAGGCGAGCGAGAGACACACACACACCCAAGACCTGACGGTACGTACATGTTCTAGTCGAGCGAACAGCTTCACTCACTCACACTTGACACATCCACATCCATACACGCCTCGGGCTTGGGATTGCGTTGCGTGGAGCAGGACCCACCGCCTCAATCATACCCTTGTCCAGTTGGAGAGATTAATGAGCATGGGTATGGCCCTGTCCTGGGTCTTGG